CCAACCAAAACAACAAAACGCAAACATAACGCTAACACAATTACAAATACAAACGAAAACAAAAACCTAACAACAAACCCAACCACAACCACAAACACCAATACAAACACAAAGAAAAAACAAACAAAAAAGCAAACGAAAACAAAAACCTAACAACAAACCCAACCACAAACACCAATACCAACAAAAAAAAACAAAAAAAAAACGAAAAAGCAAACGAAAACAAACCAAATCCAAACGCAAAACCAACCAAAAACACAAATACAAACCCAAACAAAAAAACACAAACAAAAACGAAAAAAGAAAGAACGAAAACAAACCAAATCCAAACGCAAAACCAACCAAAAACACAAATACAAACCCAAACAAAAAAAAACACAAACAAAAACGAAAAAAGAAAGAACAAAAACGAACCAAATCAAAACGCAACCACTAACGCAAACCCACCTAAACACAAAGAAAACACTAACGCGAACATAAACGCCCGGGGCAGAATCGCCTGTTTTAGCTTAATAAACGACTATAGTACCCCAACTTATTCATAGTTTTTGCACTCACTTAAACGAACGCGCCTGTTTCAATTTAATGAACAATTATAATACTCCAAGCTTATCCGTAAAATACCTAAAACATTTGCACTTGATTAATCCCCGCTAATTATGTAATTATTTTTTTCCCAACACCAAAACAAAGTAATTAAAAAGTAAATGCTTTTCAACTAATGCAAAGGTTTCATAAAGGGAAGTAATTGTGTTTTGCCTAATTTATTAAAGGGAAGTAAGCGCTATAGGACTAAATAAAAACATAATTAGAATTTTTGTAAAAGATGATATTTTTTTAAAACTTGTGTTTAATGAACATGCCGACAATTATTACTATAATTTGAAAAATGAAAATGATTTCCCAACACTTTTAATAGTAATTTTTTAACTCATAAATTTAGACAAACGCGCACGATAATTGATCTAACACTTAAATCCGTAGAAATGCCAACGACAAACATATGCGTTACAGAATTGAGCTTTATATATTAGATACTAGCCGTCCCGGCCAGGCCCTGCTCTGGCTTCTGTGAAAAACCCTTCTGTTAAAGACCATCACCTGTGTGTTTAGTAATCATCATAAACCCGGCATTGCCCACCCAAACCACAACCAACCAAAACAACAAAACGCAAACATAACGCTAACACAATTACAAATACAAACGAAAACAAAAACTTACAACAAACCAACCACAACCACAAACACCAATACGAACACAAAGAAAAAAGCAAACGAAAACAAACCAAATCCAAACACAAAACCAACCACAAACACAAACCCAAAGAAAAAAACAAACGAAAAAGCAAACGAAAACAAACCAAATACAAACGCAAAACCAACCACAAACCCAAAGAAAAAAAAACACAAAAGAAAAAACAAACGAAAACAAACCAAATCCAAACGCAAAACCAACCTCAAACACAAATACAAACACAAACCCAATGAAAATAAAACACAAACGAAAACGAAAAAAGAAAGAACAAAAACGAACCAAATCAAAACGCAACCACTAACGCAAACCCAACCTAAACACAAAGAAAATACTAACGCGAATATAAACGCAAAGTGCTCACGGGGCTGAATCGCCTACTTCAACTTAATAAACGACTATAGTACCCCAACTTATTCATAGTCTTTTGCACTCACTTTAATGAACGTAGGCGCGAAACCGAACACGGGAGGCCCGGGACCCCAAAAAGCACCCTGTCTGGGCGCCAGAGGACGCACCATGACGTCACCGCCTGATTGAACTTAGTAAACGCCTATAGTGCATAACTTATTTATAGTCTTTTGAACTCACGCGAACGTAGATACCATAGCGTACACCGGAAGGCCCGGGGCGCCAAATAGCACCCTGTCGGGGTGCCGGAGGACGCCCGGATTTGATTCACTTAAAGACTATAGTAACCAGAGTTTCTTCCAGGCATCTCTTCGGGGGGGCTTTGCCCCCCCGAAAAATTTTTACCGCCCCCCAGAACGATATGAAATTTACATAATTTATATAGAAAATATATACTTTTAACAGTGTCCGCCCCCCCCGAAGAAAGTTTACCGCCCCCCCGAAGATTTCAAGTGTCCCCCCGGAAAAAAAAGTCTGGAAGAAACACTGATAGTAACCTTTCTTACCCATAGTCTATCGCACTGTTTAAAACAAAATTATGCAGCATAGCGCTCACATGATAGCCCAGGGTGCCAAATCAAACCGTGCAGGGGCGCCGGCGGACGCGCCTGTTTCAATTTAGTGAACAAAAATGATAATACTCCAAGCTTATCCGTAAATGGAAAGAAATAAACGTATATGATTTGTAGGACCTGGCTTATTAAATGTTATTGATTTAAAAAAAAAATAATAATTATTGAACAGTATGTTCAGTGTATAGAATAAATAAAAGTCAGTGTTAAAAATACCTAACGACATTGCACTTAATCAATCCCCGCTAATTGTGTAATTATTTTTTTTTTCTTAACACCAAAAACAAAGTAATAAAATGTTAATTCTCTCTTCTTAAGGATTTATTTTTCATTAAAGGGAAGTAACTTTGCAGTCAATACATTTCCGACACAATTTTAGAAATTTTATAAACGTCGATACACTTTTTAAAAATTTTATGTCGCGTTCATAATTGAAAATTATTCTTCTAAGTAAATAGAATGAAAATTGTTTTTAAAGACTTTCAATGGTAATTTTTTGACTCGTAAATTTAGACTTTGAGCACGATAAAAAATCTAACACTTAAATCCGTAGAAGTGTCAACGACAAACTTTTTTGTTTTTTGCCACACGTTACAGAACTGAGCTTTATATATTAGATATATATATATATATGTATATATATATATATATATATATATATATATATATATATATATATATATATATATATATATATACTTTGTTTCTTGGGTGGGGGGTGACACCACGAAGTCCCGCATCTGGTGATACCCGACCTAGCGACGCCGCTGGCCGTAACTAATATTTAATAGCTTGTAATTACAATAGCATATTAACACATTTTTTTAGATATTTTTTTTTAAAAGTCCAACACAAAGTAACGCGATGCATTACTGTAGTTTACCCCAGGATGCCTCACCCAATGCGGCGCCCCACAGCTCTGCACCACCTAGTGGCGCCCGACTCGTTGACGGCACCACACCATTATCTGGTCTATAAAAAAAATGTGTGTAAATATAACCCCCCCCCCCACCCCATCTCAGCGATGTATTGCAGGTTAATGTCATCGTTAATGGATTATAGGGTGCTCAAATTCTATCAATGTTTAGATTTTCTCGACAGCTCTTTCATTCTCGTATCAGCTGACCTAGCCTGGCCCGTTTAATGCACCCATCCATTGCTGCTGCATTTTCTGGCATGCTCGAAAATTGGTATTTTCTTTTTTACGTGTGTTTTTGAAGGACGGAAAAGGGGGAGAGGGTGGGTGGATTGATTGGAGGAGGCGTTCCTTTTTAATTTTTTTGGTTAAGCTGATGAGTTTTTACTGTCTGATTGGAATTTTTTTTTTCTTCTAATGAATATAAATAGAAAGGGAAGTAATGAGCTATATGGATTTATTAAAAAGCTGGAGGGTTGATAGCAAAAAGGGGAATAATTTGTTTTTCGTGGTAAGTCTTCAAACTTTTAACAAGGCTCAAAATAATCCTCCGAAAAATCTTCCAGAGAAAAAAAAATTGATGTTGGCATATAAGCATGAGATCAAATGCAGGCTTCGATGTCTAGCTGCAGTTTTAGTTCTATTGAAGTTTGTATATTATGCATCTCATAACTTACTTTTAAGCGGTGACTGGAAAGATGCGCAACGGAAAACTGCGCAGAAAGAAGTGCGCAAGGCCATTTTTGTTTTCTTAAATCCACCATTTAAGGACATTAACAAATAGTGTCTGCACAGTGGCGTAACGAGGTCGGGTGTCACCCGGTGCTGCACTTAATGGTGTCACCCCCCCCCCCCCAGAGGCGTAGCGACCCTTCCCATGGACAAACTTTCAATTTTCGATTTGCACATTTGCACCCTCCCCCCCCTAAAACTTTTGATTTGCACCTCTTAAAAGACTATTTAACACTCGAATTAATCACTTAATTAAGTAGAATTATCATTTTTCTGTATATATTTGGCTATTTTTTGCTTTGGTGTCACGCCCCTGTGTCTGCATATACATTGTAGCATAATTAACAATATCTCAACGAAATAAGACAAAATTAAAGTGTATTAGTATAATAAATAGCTTGTATTTGCGCATTTTTCTGTTTGCGCAGTTTTTGTTGCGCAGGTTTCCGATTGGGGTGATGCTTGGTACTTCGCATTCGAATGACCTTTTCCTCCTCATGGCCAGTAGCGTAGCGAGGGGGGGGGGGGGGGCGGGGGGGGGGGGACATATGTCCATGGGCGCCGACCTTAGGGGGGGGGGCGCCTAATTGAAAGTTTGAGGGGGGGTGCAAATGAAAAGTTCAAAGGGGGGTGCAAATCGAAAGTTTGAGGGGGGGGGGGTTGCAAATGAAAAGTTCGAGGGGGGTGCAAATCGAAAATTTGCTCTCGAGGGGGCGCCAAATTGGAAGTATGTCCCCGGGCGCCGGGAAGGGTCGCTACGCCTCTGCTCATGGCTACACATTATCACAAAAAAAAACACCCCTACTATGACGTCACATCTCAGCCTACATCTCCCCCCCCCCCCATAGCAGTTTGATTTTTTTCATCGATTCTTTTCTTTTCAAAATATTTACTGAGCTAATTTCTAATACACTTTACAAAAACAGCTGTCTAAAACGCGAATAATTCATCTTCTAGCCTTCTAAACTCCCACCCCCCACCTCCTCGTCGCACATCGTCGCAAAATTCCAACCTACTTCCTCCCCCACAGGAGTGTGTCTGTTGTTAATAATAAAATGGTTTATTTCTAAAAATGCGAATTAGTCAGAAGAAAACAAAAGTACTTAACAACCGGAAACGGATATGGTCTTGTTTACAATATTTAAACCACAAGTAACACATGAGTTCTTAAACAAATTGAAAAATGAACCGGTTGAAAACAAGGTGTGTAGATTAATGGGCGCTGATAAATTTAGGGTTCAACGGCTGTAGTGTTATTTTAATGATTATACACATTATTAGTTCAAAATTAATAAATCTATGAACTTGAAATTCTATTTTCCAAACTCAACTCAGGAGTCACTTCACTCACTTTTCAACTTTTCAGACCCTCGCTTTCTCATTCTCACACCACACCTCAGCCTACACCCCTCCCCCTCAAAACTGCAGTTGAATTTTTCCTAAAACAGAAATTATTTTTCAAAAATCTTGTCTGAACTCTGTCAACAGAGTATTTTAATCAACGAAGTGACTACTCGGAAAAAGATTTTTCTCCCCAAAGTCTCAACTTGGTCGGCAAAAGATAGTTCTGCGCAGTGACCTATGGCTAGGGTTAGGGATAGTGTTGGGGTTAGTGTTCTGCGGTTGTAAACACACGCATGCGCAGTACCATAGAAAACATCGCCACGATGGCAAGTCGTAGTTTCTCTCCATTGCGCATGCGTATCTAACTAGTATCTTATTCCAGCTAGCATCGGCCTTTAATCAATTCCTATTACAATTTAATTTAGGGAATGAATTTATTAAAAATTAAAACAGTTTTCTAAAACGCGAAATAACCGTAATGGCTAAATTTTGTTTTCTAACATTGCTGTTTTATAATGCAAACATGTGATGTCACAACATCTGAAACCCACCCCCCCCCCCCCCCAAACCCTCACCACACACTGTCACAAAATTACGGACCTCCCCCCCCCTTATGAGTGTGACGTCATTTATGGACAACCCCTTAGACCTAATATTGGATAATATTTAGATCTAGATCTAGTAGGCTTGGTGTGAGTAAATTATGATGGTATCTGTGAAACTTTTACTTACGGCATCCGAATTCCAACGTGCTAACTAATGATACAGAAAACTTTGATCCAGAATTTTAATTTAGGCCTAAAATTGGCCTAAACCCTTTATTTATGATTTAAGTTGGTATTGTTATAATAATGATTTATAATGTACCATGTAGCTGCATTCTAAATTGGTCTATAATTGAACAACTTTTTTATAGTAGAATACCACTTAGTTTGAAACAGTGTCTCGCTATTTACCAGTCATTCAGCAGTTACAACTTCCATTTTACCACCTCGCCATTTTGCGTTTCACATTTCACTAAGACCCTTATTCTGCCCTCATTTAGATTTTATTTTTGCTTTTGGAATTTTGAAGTAAACTAGGGGTCACCCATTATGTTAATAAACAGCATTAAAAAAAAAAAAATTCCTAGTTACAATGAGTGGGATGTTTTATCCATGTTTATTAAAATTAACCTACAATTTATAAAAAAAAAGTCTTTATAAATGTGAAATAATGTCAAAAACTCTGGTTTCAACATTTTTTACAATGCAAAAGTGGATTAATCTTAGATTGTTTAGCCTGTTAAAATTTCTGGAGAAAATTTTTAAATATTTCTTTTTGTTACATGTAATGTAACTATGTGTTTTATGAATCATTTTCTTACATGTAGAATAACACAGATTTTTTTTGTTTCAGTTTTGCTATAAATGAAAAATATTCAGCGTTCTACACAGGTGGACAACTACAGGTGATTATTTTTAAAAAAAAACAATATCTCCTGATTTTATTTAGCTACACTTGTATTTGTAATTATAATGTAGAGTTAGTGATTGATAACATAAAGTTTAGAGGAACTAATTGAAGGAAATATTTTTTGTACATGTCCTATGCAAGACTGCATTTTCTATCTAAAATAAGCAGTTAATCAAAGCTTCTTTCTCATGAGCCTTTTTACACTTGTTAAAAAAAACAAATTGTGAGTAAATTTTCCTTTTCTGTTTTAGCAGATTTTTTAATTAAACAACTGTCCTATCTCCTCTGAATATTACAAAATGTTTTTGTTTACCCCAAACTAGCTCAGCAGTGATGGAACCAAACTTTTCTGTGGGTGTGGCAAAGAGGTTAAGATTGTTGATATCAAAACAGGCAAGATCACAATGTCTATTGGCCAGGTAACTGTCATGGTGTTCAGACTACGTTTTTAACAATACGCATTCCTTATTTATTGAGTTATTTAATTCTAATTCAGTCTAATATTCATCATCTGAAGTAGAATTCACCTGTTTCAATTACTTCTGCATATAAGAAGATTATAATAAGTCTAATATTAATAAAGCTTAAACTGTTTCCCAATATATTTTTTAAATATATCCAGGACGAGGATGAAGAAATCTGCCAGTTTCTGCTGAGTCGTGATGATGAGGTAAGTCAAAGCCTGAATATAGACTGAAGGAAATTCATAAAGCTAGCTTTTAATTAGGTAGAAAAGTGAGAGATTTATTTCAATTTTAGAAAATGATTGAAATGGCAAAAAAACATAATATTTATTTAACGATGTTTTGTTTTACGTATGGTTATTGTTAAAAAATCTAATACCTGAGTTTTGTTCTATGCTGAATGTCTGACTACTAACCTGTAAAAATTATAATTCTAGTTTTTAGTTTTGGCAACCAGAAATCAGCTCTTCAGACAGTGGCGATGGAGAGACAAAACCCTAGTCAAAACATGGAGGGTGGGTACTTTTTATACACTGATCAGTTTGCTATGTTGCTAAAGATTTTTTTTTATAAAAATTCAATTGCCAGAAGTTTACAGCTGCAGTCTTATAATCTTGGATAATATATTTTAATTTGGTTCTAATTGCTTTGTTTTACAGTATAATTTTATAACCAAAAATTATTAATACTTCATATTCATATTTCAGAATAGTTTTTGATTTACTTTTTTCATATATTATTACAAAGTTTAAATATTTATTTTTCATATAAAATGATTCTTTAATATACATTACATTATACATTTTTGGTCAGATAATATCACCATTTTGGTCCTTTTTTCACAGTCTGTCCACAATGCCCCTGTGACCTGTCTAGCCTTTGACCCCACCATCACCCTGTTGGCCTCTGGCTGTGCTGACCACACCATCAAAGTCTACGACATTGTCAGGGGCTATTTCACTCACAATTTTAAAGGTCATCGTGGTGTTGTAAGGTGAGGATGGCCTCTCTGAAACTGACTTAGCTGGTCACCAGTTGAACAGCTGGTCACCAGTTGAACAGCTGGTCCCCAGTATAACTGTTGGTCATTAGTCTAACAGCATGTCACCAGTTTAATGGCTGGTCACCAGTTTAACAGCTGGTCTCATGAAGATCACACTAACTCCTATAAAGACAATAGTGTTGTATAATAAGAATACTCTAACCTTGCTCAGTCTACACTTACTGTAAATATAAAAACAATTTTTTTTAAACTCTATATCAGTGCTTCAGCTTTCCGCCCTGCTATTCACTCCAACACATTTTCCTTTCCTCGTCCAAAATTTTACAATAAGGTTTAGTTAAAATTTCATCGATTTTAGTCGGAATTTTTTTTTACATTTACATCAGTACTTAGATAAATAAGAGAGACTTCACATTATGTTGAATGAAAAAAAAAAAAGGATGAAATGTATTGTTCATTAAAAATTGACAGTGAATGTAGGGAAATCTCTGTTTTCATTTCTGAAAATTTTTGTTGAGTGTAGTGAGCCTGACTTATGTGATTAAGGTGTGACAGTTACCTTTAACACCTGACATTGATCCTTGTCCCTAAGACTCACTTGTCCCTAAGACTCACCTGTCCCTAAGACTCACTTGTCCCTAAGACTCACCTGTCCCTAAGACTCACTTGTCCCTAAGACTCACCTGTCCCTAAGACTCACATGTCCCATTCCACAGGTACGTGACCTTTCACCCCAGAGCTGAGCAGCTCCACCTGGTCTCAGCTGCCGAGGACTACACTGTCAAGGTCTGGGACCTGAAGCTCAGCGCCTGCATCATGTCCAGTGAGTGTCACACCAGCCTGGTCACCTCCATAGCATTTGCTGATAATGGGGCAACCATGTACAGGTCAGTTTATTTATGGTGACTAGGTCACTTCCATAGCATTTGCTGATAATGGGGCAACCATGTACAGGTGAGTTTATTTATGGTGACTTGGTCACCTCCATAGCATTTGCTGATAATGGGGCAACCATGTACAGGTGAGTTTATTTATGGTGACTTGGTCATCTCTATAGCATTTGCTGATAATGGGGCAACCATGTACAGGTGAGTTTATTTATGGTGACTTGGTCACCTCCATAGCATTTGCTGATAATGGGGCAACCATGTACAGGTGAGTTTATTTATGGTGACTTGGTCACCTCCATAGCATTTACTGATAATGGGGCAACCATGTACAGGTGAGTTTATTTATGGTGACTTGGTCACCTCCATAGCATTTACTGATAATGGGGCAACCATGTACAGGTGAGTTTTTGATGGTGGGTTGGTCACCTCCATAGCATTTACTGATAATGGGGCAACCATGTACAGGTCAGTTTATTTATGGTGACGTCACGTACTGGTGATTTCTTTAATGGTTAAACCATCTTTTTGTGTATTTTTTTGTTTGTTCGTATTCTATGAGATGTTATCTGAGGTATTTATCATGGACATTTTTAATAGACAATAATGAAGTCTTGTACTTTTTATTGTTAATGTCTTAAAATGTGTTGTTTTTAACCATGTATAATAAATGTTGCACTGTTGTTTTTTTGTGGTGGGGGTAATTATATGGAAGTTTTATTGTTTTACGTTTCCTGTGAAGGTATAATATAATTTGAACAGCTTGTGTTAATGTTAATGAGACTGGATTATTTATAAAGTTTACCTTAAAATTTTATTATATAGAGAGTGTGTAAAAATATGAAGTTACAATCATAGCGTTAGCACCTAAAATTGTAAAATAATAACGTTGAATTTTTCAGTGCTGGGAAAGATAAAGTTGTATGTATCTGGAAAACTGACAAGTGGAAAGTCTTCAAGACTATACCAGTGTTTCAGGTAGCATTTCATATTACAAAATTACTAGCTTCATGAACACTAATCTTTGTCTATGAATAATAATAAAAAATGTAAAATAAATGGTAGCATGATTTGAATATATGAATTTAGTTTCTGTGTCTGGTTTTTCAGTGTCTGAATTTATTTTCTCTCTGTTCCAGTCAGTAGTGTCTGTGATTGTCCCCCTTGAGTTCCCCAGTCTTATTGATGACGACAACACATCCAGGTTTATAACTGTCTGCTCTAATGGTTGGTTGTTTTCACTGTTTTACTGGTTGTTTAAGTTATGGACCATTTTATTTTGGTCCTAATGGTTGGTAGTATTCACCCTGTTACTAGTCTTTAAATAAAAGTTGAATTTTTAATTTATGGACCATTTTATTTTGGTCCTAATGGTTGGTGGTATTCACAGTTTTACTGGTGGTTAGGTTAAAGGTGAATTTTTTAGGTATGTCCTATTTTATCGTTGGTTCTAATGGCTAATTTTTTTACTGTACTATTGTGTTGTAAGAAAGTTCAATTTTTATTTTTTTGTTCAAGTGGTTGGTAGTTTTGATTAAGTACAAGTCAGTTGGTTTAAAAAAACCAGCCTATTTTATTTTGGTCCAGTGCCTTCAACCAGTAGTTTTCCTTGTAATACGTTAACCAAGGTAAACAGTATGTGTCATACAATACTGTACACATTTCAGGGGAAGTCCGAGTTATCAATGCGGAGTCTGGCAAATATGAATACACAAATACATGTCGCTTGAGTGACTCAGAAGACGACAGCAAGAGTGACTCATACATCACTCAAGCTCTCTATTCCACTGATCTAAACGGCATTGTTTTAGCTACCTATGACGACAACATCATACAGCTCAGCAAAGATTTTACAATTGAAAAGCAGGTTTGTGGGACTGAAGTAGTTTTATCATCTTCCATCGCTCTTTAATCTCAGTGGCACCAGTTTGTCATAATTTTTTGTCATCTTTCTTCATCTTCTACTGATCTAAATAATTCTGCAATGGAGGACCAATTTACCTACAGCAAAATACTAGATGAAGTTGGCAGTATTTTATAGCAAAAGAATGTACATTGTATATAACAAATAGCTAAAATAATTTTTTCTGTTCTTATTTGCCTATTGGGAAGTACTAGATGAAATAGTATATTGATGTTATGTGAAGCAACTGTTATAGTAAAGCAACTCAAATATCTCAGTCCAGAGATAAAAGATTTTTTTTTAATTCTTTAACTAACTTTATGGACATTTCAACGAAATTTTGAGTCTTCACTGTTATTCTTTCTTTAGCTAGCTCTATGGTCATTTGGATAAAGTTTTAAGCCGTCACTAATGTGGTGGGCGGGGGGGGGGGGGGGGGGCGGGGGGGATGTGTATATGTGTGCTCTATGAATCTATATGATGACCACTCCTATAACTAACACTCCAACTATAAACATGTGATGAGGACGGGAACTCTTATTTTCCGATGACACTAAGTTGACGACATAAACAACTTTGATCATAAAATAGAATTAACTTTATTATCAAATACTAATACTACACAATATAAAAACACATCCTTTTCATACAATGGCTAACCCCCAAATGTCTTCACTCCTACGTCCTATGTCTTATGCCATCACTAAAATTCTATTTTTCACTAGCTCTATGGTCATTTGGATGGAATTTTGAGCAGTCACTAAAATTCTCTCTGTAGCTCCATGTTTTTAGATGAAATTTTTGAATCTTCTCTTAAATTCTTTCTTTGGCTAGCTCTGTAGTCATTTGGATGAAATCTTGAGCCTTCACTAAAATTCTTTAAATAGCTCTGTAGTCATTTGGATGAAATCTTGAGCCTTTACTAAAATTCTTTAAATAGCTCTGTGGTCACTTGGATGAAATCTTGAGCCTTCACTAAAATTCTTTAACTAGCTCTGTGGTCATTTGGATGAAATCTTGAGCCTTCACTAAAATTCTTTCTTTAACTAGCTCTGTGGTCATTTGGATGAAATCTTGAGCCTTCACTAAAATTCTTTAACTAGCTCTGTAGTCATTTGGATGAAATCTTGAGCCTTCACTAAAATTCTTTCTTTGACTAGCTCTGTGGTCATTTGGATGAAATCTTGAGCCTTCACTAAAATTCTTTCTTTAACTAGCTCTGTGGACATTTGGATGAAATCTTGAGCCTTTGCTAAATTCTTTTAACTAGCTCTGTGGTCATTTGGATGAAATCTTGAGCCTTCACTAAAATTCTTTGTTTGACTAGCTCTGTGGACATTTGGATGAAATCTTGAGCCGTCACTAAAATTCTTTGTTTGACTAGCTCTGTGGTCATTTGGATAAAATCTTGAGCCGTCACTAAAATTCTTTCTTTGGCTAGCTCTGTGGTCATTTGGATGAAATCTTGAGCCTTCACTAAAATTCTTTAACTAGCTCTGTAGTCATTTGGATAAAATCTTGAGCCGTCACTAAAATTCTTTCTTTGGCTAGCTCTGTGGTCATTTGGATGAAATCTTGAGCCTTCATTTCCTGGGGGAAGACGACTCGCATGTAGTGGCGGCCACCAACACTGACCTGCTCAAAGTTTTCAACAGGGACACCTGGGAGTGCCAGATGATGGCAGGTCACTCTGACATTATAACAAGTCTGGATGTCAAGGGAAACTTCATTGTCTCTGGTTCTAAGGTAAGTGCGGTGTTAAACTTGATTGTTGTGCTAAACTTGATTGTTGTGCTAAACTTGATTGTTGTGTTTAACTTAAGTTGCTGTGCTTAACTTAATGTTATGTGTAACATTTATCCTGGAATAACATTAGAATATCTAGTCTAGAAAGTGGAAAGATGCATAAACATCATTTAAATCTTCCACAAAACAGCTATGTCCCTGTTAATTTTTGAACACTAGATCAAAACCTTGATATTTTTAATTTGTATTTATTTTGAAATACAAACTTTGTGATTTAATTGCGATTTGTTATTAAAGACTCCACCTAGGTATGACCTGGTACAGACTCATTAATTAACATTTCAATTACATTATTATGTCACCAACAACAAAAGAACTAAATTTGATTTTACTCCTTTTTCAATTGTAGTTGAGTAATAAAAAACATAATAGCCAAAAATAATTTGAACTTTGAACAAATATAATATAAAAGACACATAATGAAGTTTATCCAACATATTTGCAGACATTAAAATAATAATTTAAGTATCTAGCTTAAAAGATTTTATTACAATTATTTTTAGTTAATAGAATTTTTTGTTTCTCAAAATAAAAGCCATATTTCTTTTCATCAGGATTCTTCCATCAGGATTTGGAATTTATCAGCAGACACTGGGTTTGTCACTTGTTTGGGTGTAGGTCGAGGTCACACGCAAGCTGTACAGTCTGTGGCTTTAGCCAGGTCAGTCAGTGTCAAGTATGTTGTGATACAGGTCTAGGTCATACACAAGCTGTACAGTCTGTAGCTTTAGCCAGGTCAGTCAGTGTCAAGTATGTTGTGATACAGGTCTAGGTCATACACAAGCTGTACAGTCTGTAGCTTTAGCCAGGTCAGTCAGTGTCAAGTATGTTGTGATACAGGTCATACACAAGCTGTACAGTCTGTAGCTTTAGCCAGGTCAGTCAGTGTCAAGTATGTTGTGATACAGGTCATACACAAGCTGTACAGTCTGTAGCTTTAGCCAGGTCAGTCAGTGTCAAGTATGTTGTGATACAGGTCTAAGTCATACACAACCTGTACAGTCTGTGGCTTTAGCCAGGTCAGTCAGTGTCAAGTATGTTGTGATACAGGTCATACACAAGCTGTACAGTCTGTAGCTTTAGCCAGGTCAGTCAGTGTCAAGTATGTTGTGATACAGGTCTAGGTCATACACAAGCTGTATAGTCTGTAGCTTTAGCCAGGTCAGTCAGTGTCAAGTATGTTGTGATACAGGTCGAGGTCATACACAAGCTGTACAGTCTGTAGCTTTAGCCAGGTCAGTCAGTGTCAAGTATGTTGTGATACAGGTCTAGGTCATACACAAGCTGTATAGTCTGTAGCTTTAGCCAGGTCAGTCAGTGTCAAGTATGTTGTGATACAGGTCTAGGTCATACACAAGCTGTACAGTCTGTAGCTTTAGCCAGGTCAGTCAGTGTCAAGTATGTTGTGATACAGGTCTAGGTCATACACAAGCTGTACAGTCTGTAGCTTTAGCCAGGTCAGTCAGTGTCAAGTATGTTGTGATACAGGTCTAGGTCATACACAAGCTGTACAGTCTGTAGCTTTAGCCAGGTCAGTCAGTGTCAAGTATGTTGTGTTACAGGTCCAAGTCATGCACAATTTATTTTGACCACTGGTCATCCACACATTTTAACATCCTTAGAGAATTTATTTATCATACTGTGTTTTTAATGGTTTTTTAGCTGTAGTCAAACTAAAGCGACACATTTTTGTCAACTTTCATGACCTTTTCAGACATTCAGCCCGTCCGACATATGTGCTGTCAGGTGGCGTGGACATGACACTCAAGGTCTGGTCATTTCCTGCGGAGACTGACATCACCCCCATGGCGACCCTGCGCGTGGCCGCCACAGAACATGCACACGACAAGGACATCAACTGTCTGGCTGTGGCCCCTAATGATAAGCTCATAGCCAGTGGGTCCTATGATAAAACAGCTAAGGTATGGTTGGCTGTGGCTCCTAATGATAAAACAGCTAAGGTATGGTTGGCTGTGGCCCCTAATGATAAGCTTATAGCCAGTGGTTCCTATGATAAAACAGCTAAGGTATGGTTGGCTATGGCCCCTAATGATAAGCTCATAACCAGTGGTTCCTATGATAAAACAGCTAAGGTATGGTTGGCTGTGACCCCTAATGATAAAACAGCTAAGGTATGGTTGGCTGTGGCCCCTAATGATAAAACAGCTAAGGTATGGTTGGCCGTGGCCCCTAATGATAAGCTCATAGCCAGTGGTTCCTATGATAAAACAGCTAAGGTATGGTTGGCTGTGGCTCCATCATTCGACCACCTCAACTGCTTTAGACTTGTTATTTTTGTATATGGATTCAGATATTTTTAATAAAAATGTTCTCATATTACTAATGTAAAACTAAAAATGTTTAAATGTTTCAGCACTTTATTTAATTTGTTTCATATGACCAAACATTTGTCCTTTAGCTGTGGAATATAGACGTTTTAATTTGTTTCATATGACCAAACATTTGTCCTTTAGCTGTGGAATATAGACATTTTAATTTATTTCATATGACCAAACATTTGTCCTTTAGCTGTGGAATATAGACATTTGAATTTGTTTCATATGACCAAACTTTTGTCCTGTAGCTGTGGAATATAGACATTTTAATTTGTTTCATATGACCAAACAATTGTGGAATATAGACATTTTAATTTGTTTCATATGACCAAACATTTGTCCTTAGCTGTGGAATATAGACATTTTAATTTGTTTCATATGACCAAACATTTGTCCTTTAGCTGTGGAATATAGACATTTTAATTTTTCATATGACCAAACATTTGTCCTGTAGCTGTGGAATATAGACGATGGACTCCACTCCCTCACACTTCTTGCTGTACTGCGGGGACACAAGAGGGGGATCTGGTGTGTCAAGTTCTCACCTGTAGACCAGGTAAGTTGTGGGTCAAGATGACATTTTTTATCATGCATTGTTTAGGAAATAATAAAGGTGACAAGAAAAGTGTGCTATAGACTCCCCATTAAAATGAACGCAATGTATTTTGGTTTGTTTTTTTTTAAATGGATCATTTATAGACTTTAGCAAAGAATGACCACATAAACATTGTAGCATAATAAAACAATTTTCCATGTAATATGACAGAATGAAAATGTATTAATGTATTTTTATTGTATTTGATTTGCGCAATCGGTTTGTATTTTTGCCATTTTCCGTTTCCTCATTTTTCTGAGAAACAAATAAAATGCATCAGTTAAAAATTTTTTAAAATTTATTTTTAATTTACTTTATGTTAATCTTTTCATTGTATATCATAGAAAAAAATATATGAACTTATTTGAATAAAATGTAATTATTTACCTATATGCATTAGATTATTCTTGAGGTTAAAATCTAAAATTTTCATCTTTTACTTAGATTGTGGCCACAAGTTCTGGTGATGGTTACATCAAGCTGTGGAGTGTGTCTGACTACTCTTGTGTTAGGGTAAGAGTTTGGGTTAGAGTGAGGGTGAGGGTAAGAGTTAGTGTTGGGGTTAGGGTATGGGTTGGGGTTAGAGTGATGCTAGGGTGAGAGGATTAGAGTTGGAGTTGTTAGAGGGTTAGTGTTTGTGTGAGAATTAGGGTAAGAGTTAGTGTTAGGGTAAGAGTTAGAGGATTAGAGTTATTGGGGTGTTAGTGTGGGAATTAGGGTTTGAGTTTGGGTGAGGGCTATTGTGAGAGCTGGGGTTAGGCTTAAACTTAGACTTAAGGTTAGAGATGAGGGTAGGGTTAGAGTTATTGGAGGGTTAGTGTGAGAATTAGGGTTCAAGTGAGGCTTTGGTGTGGGTTAGGGTTAGACTTCAGGTTAGAGATGGGGGTAGAATGAGAGTTAAGCCTCTACCCAAATGGTTGTTTCTCTTTAGATGTGTTTGTATTCAAACTCTGAGCTCATCTGTTGAATCTAACTGAAGGTTTCAAACTTTTTTGACAGACTTTTGAAGGCCATGACAGCTCTGTGCTCTCCATTTTGTTTTTGTCAAGTGGGAGACAGCTTTTATCCAGGTGAGGTCACAGTAGCTCTGGTGTACAGGGACTTTAGGTCACAGTAGCTCTGGTGTACAGGGACTTTATGTGACAGTAGCTCTGGTGTACAGGGACTTTATGTGACAGTAGCTCTGGTGTACAGGGACTTATGTGACAGTAGCTCTGGTGTACAGGGACTTTATGTGACAGTAGCTCTGGTGTACAGGAACTTATGTGACAGTAGCTCTGGTGTACAGGGACTTATGTGACAGTAGCTCTGGTGTACAGGAACTTATGTGACAGTAGCTCTGGTGTACAGGGACTTATGTGACAGTAGCTCTGGTGTACAGGAACTTATGTGACAGTAGCTCTGGTGTACAGGGACTTATGTGACAGTAGCTCTGGTGTACAGGGACTTATGTGACAGTAGCTCTGGTGTACAGGGACTTATGTGACAGTAGCTCTGGTGTACAGGGACTTTATGTGACAGTAGCTCTGGTGTACAGGAACTTATGTGACAGTAGCTCTGGTGTACAGGAACTTATGTGACAGTAGCTCTGGTGTACAGGGACTTATGTGACAGTAGCTCTGGTGTACAGGGACTTTATGTGACAGTAGCTCTGGTGTACAGGGACTTTATGTGACAGTAGCTCTGGTGTACAGGGACTTATGTGACAGTAGCTCTGGTGTACAGGGACTTATGTGACAGTAGCTCTGGTGTACAGGGACTTTATGTGACAGTAGCTCTGGTGTACAGGGACTTTATGTTAACAGTGCTTGTTTAGGATCAAATATTTGGAAGTTCTGTATGATCATTGATGTGTATGTCTTAATGGGGGTGGAGGGGTATTTTTATACTGAGACATGTTGTGGGGGGGGGGGGGGGGGGGGGAGTTGATGTCTGTTTTGAAAGTTGAATTTTTATGTATATCTTTATGGGGGTGAAAGGGTATTTTTATATGGGGATGTGTTTTGCTGGGGGGGGGGGAGTTGTGTTTGTTGATGGGGGGGGGGGGGGTTGTTTGATTGTTGATGGGGGTGATTAATGTCTGTTTTTATTGGGGGGGGGGGGTTAATGCTTGGCCTTGTGCAGATGGAGGTGAAGGGGTCAATTTTTGTGTTGATGGGATTCATTTGTTAAGCGATGGTGATTGCGGCCATGTGTGTGTTGATGAAGGTGGGCAATGTTTCTTGTGGAGCCGATGTGAAATTTGACACTAGTTGATGAAATTAGTACAGCCGCCTAAGTAGGAAAAATGTTCATTTAAATGTTTTTTTTTTCCCACAGTGGTTCAGATGGTTTACTGAAACTTTGGCTGATTAAAACAAGTGAATGTTTGAAAACTTTTGAAGGCCACGATGCCAAAGTGTGGACAATAGCAGCCACATCACAAGAGGATTATGTACTGTCAGGGGGAGCTGACTCCACAGTTGTCTTGTGGAAGGTTTGTCTTCCTTTGTTCACTCACAACATTTTTGTTTTAGCAGCTTTCTTTATCAGCATAGAAAGTTGGAGTGGAATCTTGTTACTAAACCTATATATGAATGGCTCAGTGGAAAATGTACTTATGTAATTTTATAGTTTTGACAAAAACACGTTCCAAGTTTTTAAAATGATGTTGAAATAACTCCTTTTTTTCATGTACATATATATATATATATAAATAATTTTATATTCTAATATGTTATAATGTGTTGCAGGATGTGACACAACAAGAAGAAACAGAAAAACAGGAACAAATCCAGAAGCACGTCATGCAGTGAGTTTATACACAATCTGTATCACAATTATATTGTCACTTATTTTGTTATTTATACACAATCTGTATCACAATATTATTGTAACTTTGTGTTGTTTTTATACTCAATCTGTATCACTATAATATTGTCACTTTTTCTTGTTTATACACAATCTCTTTCATAATCATATTGTCACTTTGTCTTGTTTTTATACACAATCTGTTTCACCATAATATTGTCACTTTTTCTTGTTTATACACAATCTGTTTCACATTAATATTGTCACTTTGTCTTGTTTTTATACACAATCAGTTACACAATATTATTGTCACTTTTTCCTGCTGTTAATAATGGAATAACAGTGTGAAAATGTTTTCCTTTTTATTCTTTTATCTAAAGTTTACAAAATGCTTTGGTCGAATTATACAGTATTTTTGTAAAATAAAAGTATGTTTTTGAGTACTCTGAGACTAGTACTTTTGTAAAATAAAAGTATGTTTTTGAGCACTCTGAGACATAAAAATTTTCTTTCAGGGAGCAAGTTTTGTCCAATCTGATAGCAGACAAGAAGTTTGTCAGGGCTATGGGGCTGGCTATATCTCTCAGTAAGCCGTACAGAGCTCTGAATATTCTCAAAGGTGAGATGACTTACAATTTTTTTTAGATCTCTGCTTTCTAAAATAGTAAACATCACACTGGCAGAAAGTCAGGTGGGGGGAGGGGCTAGTATCCCTTACACCTAAATAAGTAACTGATCTAAGTTAACACAAACATTACATGTAAACTATTACAATCTTATGTATAACATGTGATACACTGATTAAAACAAAATCTTCTTTTTGCTTGATATATTGATTGTATATCTTGTTTTTGTTTTTTTTTTTAAATTTAAATGGTTAGCATAAACAATTTTTTAATAGTGGTATTTTTTTTTTCTAGCATTTGATTATTCCATTAATTCTTTGTTGAAAAAACTGTTGTTTTTAACACAATGTGAATTATGTTTCTTGACTGTTGTGTGTATTCCTTCTACAATCCATCGTCTATGTTGAAACAGAGGTTCTCAAGTTGGAGGACGGGGAGAAACAGTTAGAGAGACTGATCTGCAAACTGCGGATGGACCAAATAGAATCTGTGTTAAAGTTTGCTGTGGACTGGAACACCAACAGCAGGAACTACTACCCAGCCCAGCAGCTCATCAATGTTGTCCTCCGGAACTTTCTACCACAGGAGCTGGCCAAGCTGCCAAACATTCAGTCTATAGTTGAGGGCCTGACAGTTTATACAGGTGAGGAGGGGGGTCAAACAGTTTACACAGGTGAGAGGGGGTCTAAGAATTTACATAGGTGAGAGGGGGGGGTCTAACAGTTTACACAGGTGAGGAGGGGGGATACCAGTTTACACAGATGAGAGGGGGGTCTAAGAATTTACACAGGGGAGAAAGGGTAATTTACACAGGTGAGGGGCCTTACAGTTTACACAGGTGAGAGGGGGTGTCTAAGAATTCACACATGAGGAGGGGCTAACAGTTTAGATAGGTGAGAGGGGGGTCTAACAGTTTACACAGGTGAGAGGGTGGGTCTAAGAATTTACAGAGGTGGGGGGGGGGGGCTAACAGTTTACACAGGTGAGAGGGGGGTGTCTAAGAATTTACACAGGGGAGAAAGGGTAATTTACACAGGTGAGAGGGGGGTGTCTAAGAATTCACACATGAGGAGGGGCTAACAGTTTACACAGGTGAGGGGGGGTCATTTACACAGGTGAGAGAAGTACAACATATTAAACAGGTTAGGGAGGGGGGGGGGGGGTCTAACAGTTTACACAGGTGAGAGATGATGGCTCTTGATAATATACTTTACAAAGGTCTAATGTTGTGAACCAAATGTCTCATGACTTACACTAAAGGTCTAATATTTTAAAATAAAGATCAAATATTTTACACTAAAGGTCCAATATTTTACACTGAAGGTCTAATATTTTACACTAAAGATCTAATATTTTCACTAAAGGTCTAACATTTTACACTAAATATCTAATATTTTCACTAAAGGTCTAATATTTTCACTAAAGGTCTAATATTTTACACTAAAGTTCTAATATTTTCACTAAAGGTCTAATATTTTACACTGAAGGTCTAATATTTTACACTAAAGATCTAATATTTTCACTAAAGGTCTAATATTTTACAATAAAGGTCTAATAACTTATAAGCTACAACACACCTGTGTATCACCTCCACAGACAGACACCTACAGAGACTGGACAACCTTCTGATGGAGTCCCACTTTGCTGAGTACTGCTACAGTTGTATGAAGACATCAGTCTAGCTCTTGACCAGTACAGGTAGGTCCTTCATCAAGTTTCTACATCAGTCTAGCTCTTGACCAGTTCAGGTAGGTCATTCATCAAGTTTCTACTATTGACCAGTCCAGGTAGGTCCTTCATCAAGTTTCTACATCAGTCTAGCTCTTGACCAGTCCAGGTAGGTCCTTATCAAGTTTCTACATCAGTCTAGCTCTTGACCAGTTCAGGTAGGTAATTCATCAAGTTTCTACTATTGACCAGTCCAGGTAGGTCCTTCATCAAGTTTCTACTCTTGACCAGTCCAGGTAGGTCCTTCATCAAGTTTCTACATCAGTCTAGCTCTTGACCAGTTCAGGTAGGTCATTCATCAAGTTTCTACTATTGACCAGTCCAGGTAGGTCCTTCATCAAGTTTCTACATCAGTCTAGCTCTTGACCTGATCAGGTAGGTCCTTCATCAAATCTTTAGCAGGTCATCTTTATCTTGTTCACTGGCATAGCAAGACTTTCATATCACCTTTAGTTATAGCCTCTAACTTTTAGAAATAAATTTTCAAATATTTATTCTTTGGGATTGTGCACAGTTATGTAATGTTAAGGAGAGGTAGGTTTACGTTGACATATTGTATGCTTTACTTTTTATGTAAACTGACTGACCACCATTGTGATATTAATTATATTGCAGGTGCTGTTTGCTGATGGGAACTAATTAGAAATAAATAAATATAACAGAAGAAAACATTTGTAATAATTTCTTTGTGTTATCAGTCATATCTTGTTTTTGTTACTGTTTGACTGGAGTTTTGTTACACTGTTTTATTGGTGTTTTGTTACACTGTTTGACTGGTGTTTTCCGAATGTTTCAAAGGATTAATTGCTGACTGCTCAGTCACATGATATATAGTGGCTGACTATTTAGTGATTGACTAGTTAGTCACTGTACATTGTGTTGCTTGTAGTTATAAAAATATTACAGACGTAACCAGCTTTTGCTAAAACTGATATTTTGACTTGAATTTTATGCCGAGACATGCAGTTCTCCTGTCGGAGTAGGCGATCAATAAGATAGATGAAGTAGAGCTCATCTGTTTCTTGACCACGGTATATCTAGGGACGGAGTGGTCATCACTTAGTCAGGAGTTATCAGTGGCGTAGGCAAGTGTGGGTTAGGGGGATTATAACCCCTCCCTTGACTCACACCACTATATATATATATACACATACATATATATATATATATATACACACACAAATATATATATATTTACATCTATATAAATATGGAAAAATATTTGAACCCCTCCCATGACCGATTCCTGGCTACGCCACTGGGAGTCCTAATTCATAATGCTGGGATCTGTCCGGAGTTATCAGTGGTGGAGAGTGGGGTGGGGGTCATATTAAATGCGGTCGGGAGATGTTTTGTTTCTATGGGAACAGTATTGACAGGGGCCCTCCTTGTCTTGAGTCCTAATGACTGAGGTCCTTTAGCGTGGAGCCTATTGGGTGGGATACGTAATGACGGGGGCCGTTTTGATTGGAGCCTTTGGGACGGGGTCCATTTGTTACTGGCCCTTTAGACGGGATCAATGTGTCGGGGTAGCCTTGATACAGGCTGTAATGACGTCACCACTAAGCACACATGTATTTGGTTCGACTTTTTTTTTTTTTATTTGGTTCGACTTTTTTTTTTTTTTTTTACCTGAAGTGAAATAGTTTAAATTTAATTTCAATCCTGGTTATGGTAAACCTAATGACATAAGTGCAATATTTCAGAAGGGAAATGCAATACTCAAAGCAAGGTGAATATATACTTTACAAAACAGTAAGAATGAAACAAATGCAGAGACAGGAAATAGTTTTGCCAAAGCCAACCATTTTTATTTAAAAAAAATTTTGATTTGTAAATTATTCGAAACCTTGAGGTGCGATTAGAAATGAAATTTTTAAAAGAAACACTTGTAAAAAGAAGTATAACTAGATATGGCTTTACTTAGTTCACTAGCAAGAGCTCTATTGTCATAATGTTTTAGTTATATTTTGTAAGACACATTTCTAATAAAACATTTGTGTTCTACATTTTTTGTTTAAAATAAAATAGGTCATTTATGTTTACAATACATTGTTGTACATTTATCATGTATATAAAATGAGGAGTGGTTGGCCCTAGAAAATTACAGGAGGACATGTATTGTTGCTACTCACGTTGTGTTTGTTCTGCTGAAATTACTCCATACTGGGCCAACATGATGGTTCTGAGCTTTGCGGCAGATGACTCATCCTGGAGTTGCTCTATATTTAATACTGCTACTCTTCTCATGGTGCCCATGATTGTCTTATTTGGTTTCGACTTGAAGTTTCAAGTCACTAGATAATTGGTATTTTTGTTCAAAGTCAAATTTCGCTGTTGTTGTAGGGATTTAATTAATCTACTAAGTACGTATGAATACTGTTATAGTTTTTTATTTAAACTTGAGTCAATGATAGTTCTAACATTTTTTTAATATAAAATGGTATACTTACACATATTTTAGAATTACATAATCTGTATTTTGTGAATAAATGAACGGTAATTCGCATTTTCTTTTCATTACTGTTGTATTTGTATTTATTTGACTTTTCGTAAAAGAGTTAAGGGCTACCTCCCTTGGTGATTTTAATATTTTACATGGGAAGTAACTAACAGATGCCTCAAATAACCTTCGAATATAGACTATAGCAATGCCGGTATGTAGGCCTACAGCTGAGAAAATTCATTAAGGCTACCAATGTGGCCAGATGCTGTCAGGCAGAGTTTCTTCCAGGCATCTCTTCGGGCTCATCTCCCCCCCCCCCATCAGTATAGCTCTTGACCAGTCCAGGTGGGTCCTTCATCAGGTTTCTACTCTTGACCAGTCCAGGTAGGTCCTTCATCAAGTTTCTACTCTTGACCAGTCCAGGTAGGTCCTTCATCAAATCTTTAGCAGGTCATCTTTATCTTGTTCACTGGCATAGCAAGACTTTAATATCACCGTTATTTATAGCCTTTAACTTTTAGAAATAAATTTTCAAATATTTAGTTATTGGGATTGTGCACAGTTATGTAATGTTAAGGAGAGGTAGGTTTACGTTGACATATTGTATGCTTTACTTTTTATGTAAACTGACTGACCACCATTGTGATATTAATTATATTGCAGGTGCTGTTTGCTGATGGGAACTAATTAGAAATAAATAAATATAACAGAAGAAAACATTTGTAATAATTTCTTTGTGTTATCAGTCATATCTTGTTTTTGTTACTGTTTGACTGGTGTTTTGTTACACTGTTTGACTGGTGTTTTGTTACACTGTTTAACTGGAGTTTGGTTACACTGTTTGACTGGTGTTTGGTTACACTGTTTGACTGGTGTTTTGTTACACTATTTGACTGATGTTTTGTTACACTGTTTGACTGGTGTTTTGTTACACTGTTTGACTGGTGTTTTGTTACACTGTTTTATTGGTGTTTTGTTACACTGTTTGACTGGTGTTTTGTTACACTGTTTGACTGGTGTTTTGTTTCACTGTTTTACTGGTGTTTTATTACACTGTTATATTGGTGTTTTGTTACACTGTTTGACTGGTGTTTTCCGAATGTTTCAAAGGATTAGTTGCTGACTGCTCAGTCACATAATATATAGTCACTGACTATTTAGTGACTGACTAGTTAGTCACTGGACATTGTGTTGCTTGTAGTTATAAAAATACCTCAGACATGTACAGCTGTTGCTAAAACTGATATTTTGACTTGAATTTTATGCCGAGGCATGCAGTTCTCCTGTCGGCCTAGGCGATCAATGGGATATAAGAAGTAGAGCTTATCTGTTTCTTGACCACGGTATATCTAGGGACGGAGTGGTCATCACTTAGTCAGGAGTTATCAGTGGCGTAGGCAAGGGTGGGTTAGGGGGGTTATAACCCCTCCCTTGACTCACACCACTATATATATATATATATATATATATATATATATATATATATATATATATATATATATATATATATATATATATATATATATACAAAATATATTTACATCTATATACATATGGAAAAATATTTGAACCCCTCCATTGACTGATTCCTGGCTACGCCACTGGGAGTCATAATTCATAATGCTGGGATCTGTTTTGTCGGGAGTAGTAGTGACGGGGGCCAAAATGACTGGGTCCATTTGTCGAGGGCTGTTTTGTCACGACAGAACGACCCAGTGAAAATAGTCCCGAAATATGGGCTTCGGTCATATTGACTCGCGACACTCCCGACAAATGGACACCCGACACATTGACTCCCGACAAACAGACTCCTGACGTATTGACTCACGACATCTTTGTCCCCGACATGTTGTTTCTAGAGAGATAAATCGTGTGACCACTTTTGGTATAGACGTAACGATTTTGTCCAACTCACCAACCGCACGCATTCCTACCTCCGCTACCACCATAAACTTCTTTTAAATTCCTGAATGAAAAACTTCTTCGTGAACAATTCATAACAAATCGAGCTCTCAACAACACAACGACACTTATTGTTTAAATTGTGATGTTTTACCAACCCTCTTGTAGCTGCCGCATAATAGAGAGTACAGAAGTTGCATTGTATGACAAAGCCCTTCACAATGGTGACTAGATAAATGTCGTTTTGTTTTGATAACCTACAAGTACAATCATAGTGAAGGTAAATGTTTTGTTTTGATAACCTACAAGTACAAGCATAGTGAAGGTAAATGTCGTTTTGTTTTGATAACCTACAAGTACAAGCATAGTGAAGGTAAATGTCGTTTTGTTTTGATAACCTACAAGTACAAGCATAGTGAAGGTAAATGTTTTGTTTTGATAACCTACAAGTACAAGCATAGTGAAGGTAAATGTCGTTTTGTTTTGATAACCTACAAGTACAAGCATAGTGAAGGTAAATGTTTTGTTTTGATAACCTACAAGTACAAGCATAGTGAAGGTAAATGTTTTGTTTTGATAACCTACAAGTACAAGCATAGTGAAGGTAAATGTTTTGTTTTGATAACCTACAAGTACAAGCATAGTGAAGGTAAATGTCGTTTTGTTTTGATAACCTACAAGTACAAGCATAGTGAAGGTAAATGTCGTTTTGTTTTGATAACCTACAAGTACAAACATAGTGAAGGTAAATGTCGTTTTGTTTTGATAACCTACAAGTACAAGCATAGTGAAGGTAAATGTCGTTTTGTTTTGATAACCTACAAGTACAAACATAGTGAAGGTAAATGTCGTTTTGTTTTGATAACCTACAAGTACAATCATAGTGAATGTAGATGTAAAGCGTGGGCCTCTCTCCAGACACAATGGGTTGGAACAGTGGCGTAGCGAGGTCGGGTGTCATCCGGTGCGGCACTTAATGGTGTCACCCCCTCAGAGGCGTACCGACTCTTCCCATGGGACAAATTTTCGATTTGCACCCCCCCCCCCCCTCAAACTTTCGATTTGCACCCCCTTTTCAAATTTTTCTCTATATATTTTACTATTTTTTGCCTTGGTGTCACCCCCCTAAATGGTGTCACTCGGTGCGTTCAGCACCCTCCGCCTCCCCCCCTACCTCGCTACGCCTCTGGGTTGGAATAGCCCACAACCGACTCATTTGATAGAAGACAATGGTATGACCTTTAAAGATAAAAACATCCCATTTCTTATACTAGATGGAAGAATGTACAAATAAGTCCTGCCGACCAAGTGCTACATTCGTTGTATTGTTTAAGGGTGTGGCTAAGCCAACACTGGAGAGTAGGATGGGGGTCATATTAAATGAGGTCGGTAGATGTTTTGTTTCTACGGGAACAGTATTGACAGGGGCCCTCCTTGTCTTGAGTCCTGATGACTGAGGTCCTTTAGCGGGGAGCCTATTGGGTGGGATACGTAATGACGGGGGGCCGTTTTGATTGGAGCCTTTAGCACTGGGTCCATTTGTTACTGGCCCTCTTGAAGGGATCAGTGTGTCGGGGTAGCCTTGATACAGGCTCTAATGACGACACCACTAAGCACACATTTATTTGGTTCGACTTGAAGTTTCAAGTCACTAGATAATTTGAACCTTTATCAGTAACACTGTTGTAGTAGGGATTTAATTAATATACTAAGTACATATGAATACTGTACTGTAACAGTTTTTTATTTAAACTTGAGTCAATGATAATTCTAACATTTTTTTATATAAAAAGGTATACTTACATACATCTTAGAATTACGTAATCTGTATTTTGTGAATAAATGAACGGTAATTCGCATTTTCTTTTCATTACTGTGGTATTTGTATTTATTTGACTTTTCGTAAAAGATGTACAGGTTGTCTCCCTTGGTTTTTAAAAATAAATTACATGGGAAGTAACTATGCAAGAGATTTGATACAACACCACTTGTACAGAAACGCATTTTTGATATAGGTTTTTTATATTTACATCTGTTTTATTGTTAGTTGACCACCGGCCACTCTCTTATTCATCGCTCCAACCATTGGTTGGAAGAGTCGATTATAAATAGGGGGATGTATGAATTATCAAATCTCAGTGACCTACATTTATCTAGATCGGGTTTATTAGTTAAAAAAAAAAACTCCCGTAACCTATTTTTCTTGTAAAGTTACAAACAGCCAAAGATAAGTGGAGATGTGACTTTTTAAAAAAAAATGTAACACACTTGAGCCAACACACTTTGGCGTGTAAGTCGTCGTGTGTTGACTGTGTTAGATAACACAGGGACCGAACATTACGTCAAAGATAAACTTCCTGTCGGTACTCAGAGTCCAATTCGTTTTCTACACTGGTGTTTAATAATGATGTGTGATGATGATGATGTGTGATGATGTGATGATGATGTGTGAAGAATCCAAGCCGTGCTGAAAAATTACACTCAACCCTATGATGTTTGATACGATTCAGAAGTCGTGTGTGTGATGATCGATCATTTCCGTTAGCAGTTTCGATGGATGGACGTGTTGTGTTGTTGATGACCTGTTTGTATATAGGAGGCGTCGTCTGCACGCGACGGCCGAGTGCCGTGCGAATAGACAATAACGGATACAAGAATATTTTGGTAGCCGTACATCCGGACGTCCCTGAAGACCACAGTCTAGTCGATGCTATTCAGGTAAAGATGTTTAGTAGTGTGAATAGTAGAGTCTATTGGACGATTTGTTGTATGAATAGTAGAGTCTATTGGAAGATTATTAGTGTGAATGGTAGAGTCGATTGGACGATTAGTAGTGTGAATAGTAGAGTCTATTGGACGATTAGTTGTGTGAACAGTAGAGTCTGTTGGACGATCAGTAGTGTGAATAGTAGAGTCGGTTGGAAGATTAGTTGTGTGAATAGTAGAATCTGTTGGACGGTTAGTTGTGTGAATAGTAGAGTCTATTGGACGATTAGTTGTGTGAATAGTAGAGTCGATTGGACGATTAGTTGTGTGAATAATGCAGTCTTCTAGATTACTATTAGCTGTGTGGATAGTAGTGTACATCAGTGTTTCTTCCAGGCTGGCTTCTCTTCGCGGGGGGGGGGGGGGGAGGGGGGGGGCGAAGAGAGTCTACCGGCCCCCGAACAAAATGGAATGTATATAGAAAAAATATTTTTTTATCAGTATCCGACCCCCCCCCCCCCCCCCCAAAAAAAAAAAAAAAAAACTTTCAAGTGCCCCCGGAGAAAAAAGTCTGGAAGAAACACTAGTGTAACACGGACACCAGTCTAATCTTCTGGTAAAGCTGGGATTTGTGAATATAGTCTATTGGACAATTCGTTGTGTGAATAGTACTATCCGAGGGGACCTCAATTTTGGTAGTTCTAATTAGATAAAGCCAATACTGATCACTAAATAAATTAATTTATAAAGGGACCAGATACAAAATATCTCAATCATAATCTAAAAATAACCAACAATAAAAACAGAAATAAAGATAACAATAATGACTGATGATTTGTGTTTTAAGTCATCAAATTATTTTCAAAAATAGATTCCTAATTATAACCGCAATACTACAATTATGTTAACGATGATTTACGTATTTTTTTTTATATTGTGCTTTTACACTGCACTAATTAGTTAGCTGTATTGACGTTGATTAATTAGCCACTTTAATTAAAATCAGTCAGTTGATAGCGTATCAGTTGTGAGATAATGGGACGCGCTTGACGCTGGGAATGACGTTACTGAACTTTATCAAAGAGAGGGTAACTCGGTCAGATACACTGGTTCTTCCAGGGGAGGCTACTGCAAGTACCGGGGATATGACCACTACTAAAATTGATTAGGGTTGTCCAAACTGTCATTTGACTAATGTCAAGAGATGAAACTGTTTTATTATTAATGACCAGCTAACTAGAATTGAGAGTAAAGAAATTAAATTATCACAGCTATTTATTAACCAGTTAACATGAAATATTAAAACCAGTAAATTTATCTCGACTGGTTGTAATAATTAGCATAGAAACCAAATTTGAACAATCGCATGAACGTTTCAAGTAGATCTTATTACCTTATGTAAAGAACCAAAGCCTTTTCTGATGCTTACACTCTCATAAAGATCAAAAAAAGAAGTATACTCCAATAATACTGAAAGTTACCAAAAAAAAAAAAAAAAAAAAGGCCGTCTGTACTATTCTATATACACTTACAATATCCATTTTTATTAAAGATACATTTATAGACCCGCCAGGTACTAAATAATCATGTTTGAAGCACGCCTAGTTCAGGGATCAATGTGGAAAAAGATCTTAGAAGCAATCAAAGATCTTTTAAATGAAGCGATTTTCGATTGCTCGAGTACTGAAATAACAGTGCAAGCCATGGACAGCTCCCATGTCAGTTTGGTTGCTCTCAGTATGAAATCAGACGGTTTTGAAACTTACAGATGTGATAGAAATCTATCGATGGGAATCCACTTACCAAGTATGTCCAAAATAATGAAATGTGCTGGCAATGATGACAGTATAACAATCAAAGCTGCAGATGAAGCCGATACAGTTTCGCTGGTTTTTGAGTCCCCAAATCAAGAAAAGGTGTCTGACTATGAAATGAAGCTAATTGACCTTGACACGGAACACTTAGGAATCCCTGACACGGAATACAGCTGTGTTGTGAAAATGCCAAGTGGTGAATTTCAACGCATTTGTCGCGATCTCAGCCAGTTGGGCGACTCTGTAGTTATTGCTTGCACCAAAGAAGGCGTTAAATTTTCTGCTAGTGGTGAACTTGGAACTGGAAACATTAAACTTTGCCAAAATGCTAGCACTGACAAGGAGGAAGAGGCTGTGATAGTTGACATGAACGAGGCTGTTTGTTTGACCTTTGCTCTGCGCTACCTCAACTTTTTTACTAAAGCCACTCCTCTGTCTGGACAAGTATCTCTTTCAATGTCTCAGGATGTCCCGCTTGTTGTTGAGTACAAAATATCTGAACTTGGATATCTTCGATTCTACCTAGCACCAAAAAATTGAAGACCAAGAAGCTGAATAATGTCAAAAAGATAAATTTATGTTTTCATTTGTCACCTTTATCATAACTCATTCAAATTGTACTTCAATCTGTAAATAAAATCATACTAGAACTTAACAAAAAAAAAAAAAAAAAAAATGTAAAGAACCAAATGATTATAATTTAGCAAAAGCTAAGCAATATTCACCACTGAGGAAGTAGCTGAAGGAAAATGGATAGCTATGAATATTATATCCTACTTGGATCCAACAGGAAAAGAAAGAAAATGGGAAGGTGTTACAAGAATTACAAAATCTAAAACAGAAGCTGATGCTGTTGGTATGATAACACTATTTAAAGATCCAGTACAAAATTGTGATTGTGTTGTACTCATTCGTCAGTATAGGCCTGCTATACATTCAACCAATGTTGAATTTCCTGCAGGATTAATTGATGCTGGTGAAACAGCCGAGGTTGCTGTTATCAGGGAAATGAAAGAAGAGACAGGTTTAACAGTAACGGTGAAGCATGTATCACCAGCTACTGCCACAGATGCTGGTGTGCTGGACACCACTATGAAAATGGTAACTTGTGAGGTGAACTTAAATGATCTCAAAGAGCACAATTTGAAACCAAGTGTTGGAGATTCTGATGAATTTATTGAGGTTTTAATAGAACCACTACATTCTTTATTAAAACGGTTAGATGATTATAAAAATAATGGTGACATTGTTGATTCAAGAGTGTATTCATGGGCTTTAGCTAGAGCATACCTATGAAATAATCTAAATATAGTAAGGAATTATTTGTTTTAAGTTACCAAGCAAACTAATATAGTGAAAGTTATTAGGGGCTCACACAAGTAGACACAGATGTACAAGAAAATCAAAGAATTCACTTCAACTGAAATATAGTTTATTTTGTTTCCACATTATATTAATTCTAAATAATGAATCAAACTCACTCAACAATAAAATACAATTTAAAAAAAAAACAAAAAAAAAAACTTATTTTCAAATCGTTTAAATACCAAATTATCTGCCCCTAATAGCCGTACCACTTCCGGTTATCGGAAATCGCTCAAAAGTTGATACGGATCTACGATTTTGATAAAATACTTATGTATGAAATTTCATCAACCTAGCTGTAACGGTACTCAAGTTATCGTGTTTACACACACACACACACACACACACACACAGACACACAGACATAAGGACAAGATTGCAAAATTATGCTTTTCCGTATCAGTGAGATGTACAACGTCGAGATTTGTAAAAATCTCGATTTTTTTTTTTTGCACGATTACAAGACTTTCTCTACACCTCGTATATACGAGAAAGTAAAAAGAGAAGACATTTTTTAAATTTTTTAATAAAAGTAGGAACCCAATAGGGCCTATATAAAATAGCTCCTATGGGGCACCCATGATATGGTAACCCAAATTTAACACACACACACACACACACACACACACACACACACACACACACACATATATATATATATATATATATATATATATATATATATATATATATATATATATATATATATATATATGTATATATATATATGTATGTATATATATATATGTATGTATATATATATATATATATATATATATATATATATATATATATATATATATATATATATATATATATATATAAATAATGATTTTTACATGATCCAACACTTCAGCGGATGATAATGGATGCGTCATCTTTCCTGCACCAAGCCACAGAACGACGCGCATATTTCAGTGACGTCACCATCCTAGTCCCCGGGCACTGGACCAATGACAGCTGGGGACGGGCCAGCGCTGAGCTGTACACCAACGCTGACGTGGTGGTGGAGAGTAAGTTGTGTCACGTGACTCGTCCTTACCTGGCTAGAGTTAGTCAGCTTGTCGTTGTGTGTGGGTCGTCTGTCACTGTCAGTGTGCCACCTGTCACCGTCCATCATTAGACCCTGTACTGGTCAACTGTCAGTGTGGTGGCTATCACTGTAGGTGACGTGCAACTGTACTCTGGCTAGCTGTGGATCTGTCACTTGTGTCCACGACTAGAGCTGAGCTAAGGTTGTCAGTTAAAGGCAGTAGCAGGACACGGCGTTGAGATTTGGTCCATTACATTTGTGTAGCCAACAGGTGATCAAAGGAGTCATCCATAAATGACGTCATTCTTTTTTTTGACGATGTTTACCTTCCCCCCCCCCCCCTCTCCTCCGTCACACGTCGTCACAAATAGCCAGACCCTCCCCTAAAATGACGTCACACCTCAGCTTACAACCCCCCCCCCCTCAAAATTGCAGTTGATTTTTTTTAAACATCGATATTTTTCTAAAATATTGTCTGAACTCTGTCAAATAGAGTATTTTAATCAATTCCTATTACAATTTATCAAAACAGTTTTCTAAAACTCGAAATAGCGTCTAAAATTTGTTTTTTAACATTGCTTTTTTATAATGCAAAAGTGTGACGTCGCACCATCTGAACCCCCCCCCCCCCCCTCCCCCTCATCACACACCATCACAAAATTACGGACCCCCCTCCCCCCTACGAGTGTGACGTCATTTATGGACGACCCCAAATGTAGAGATTTGGTCCTTAACATTTGTATAGCCAACAACTGATCAAATGTAGAGATTTGGTCCTTAACATTTGTATAGCCAACATCTGATCAAATGTAGAGATTTAGTCCTTAACATTTGTATAGCCAACAACTGATCAAATGTAGAGATTTGGTTCTTAACATTTGTATAGCCAACATCTGATCAAATGTAGAGATTTGGTCCTTAACATTTGTTTAGCCAACAACTGATCAAATGTAGAGATTTGGTTATTAACATTTGTATAGCCAACATCTGATCAAATGTAGAGATTTGGTCCTTAACATTTGTATAGCCAACAACTGATCAAATGTAGAGATTTGGTTCTTAACATTTGTATAGCCAACATCTGATCAAATGTAGAGATTTTGTCCTTAACATTTGTTTAGCCAACATCTGATCAAATGTAGAGATTTGGTCCTTAACATTTGTATAGCCAACAACTGATCAAATGTAGAGATTTGGTCCTTAACATTTGTATAGCCAACAACTGATCAAATGTAGAGATTTGGTTCTTAACATTTGTATAGCCAATATCTGATCAAATGTAGAGATTAAGTCCTTAACATTTGTATAGCCAACAACTGATCAAATGTAGAGATTTGGTTCTTAACATTTGTATAGCCAACATCTGATCAAATGTAGAGATTTGGTCTTTAACATTTGTTTAGCCAACAGCTGATCAAATGTAGAGATTTGGTTATTAACATTTGTATAGCCAACATCTGATCAAATGTAGAGATTTGGTCCTTAACATTTGTATAGCCAACAACTGATCAAATGTAGAGATTTGGTCCTTAACATTTGTATAGCCAACAACTGATCAAATGTAGAGATTTGGTTCTTAACATTTGTATAGCCAACATCTGATCAAATGTAGAGATTTGGTCCTTAACATTTGTATTGCATACAGCTGATAAAATGTAGAGATTTGGTCGTTAACATTTGTATAGCCAACAGCTGATCAAATGTAGATATTTAGTCCTTAACATTTGTATAGCCAACAGCTGATCAAATGTAGAGATTTGGTCCATTACATTTGTATAGCCAACATCTGATCAAATGTAGAGATTTGGTCCTTAACATTTGTATAGCCAACAACTGATCAAATGTAGAGATTTGGTCCTTAACATTTGTTTAGCCAACAACTGATCAAATGTAGAGATTTGGTTATTAACATTTGTATAGCCAACAGCTGATCAAATGTAGAGATTTAGTCCTTAACATTTGTATAGCCAACAGCTGATCAAATGTAGAGATTTAGTCCTTAACATTTGTATAGCCAACAGCTGATCAAATATAGAGATTTGGTCCTTAACATTTGTATAGCCAACAACTGATCAAATGTAGAGATTTGGTCCTTAACATTTGTATAGCCAACAACTGATCAAATGTAGAGATTTGGTCCTTAACATTTGTATAGCCAACAGCTGATCAAATGTAGAGATTTAGTCCTTAACATTTGTATAGCCAACAGCTGATCAAATGTAGAGATTTGGTCCTTAACATTTGTATAGCCAACAGCTGATCAAAGGGAATCTTTCTATACTAATGAATAGAGATACGACCACGACTTTTTTCCTGACGCCTCGGTCGCAGTAGAACTAAATGCCGTATCATGCATTTCTTAAAAATAAAAAAAAATATGTTGGGCTTGTTATGATGCCGCAATGTGTCAGTGTATAAATGTCATATATATATATATATATATATATATATATATATATATATATATATATATATATATATATATATATATATATATATATATATATATATATATATATATATATATATGTAACGAGACTATTTGCCTGTAGTGCCAAATGTTAACGAGTTCTGCTCGACAACGCCAAATGTTACCGAGTCTAACCACTCATTCTACACAACATCGACCACAGTATAGATACTCGAAGATGCAGGTTCGCTATTGATCCTTTTATTACATGAATCAAAGAAATGCTTCACAATAATATAATGAATCAAAAGGAATGCTTCACAATAATAGTCTGAATCAACTGACCCCCAACAGTCCTCACTAGTCTTCACATAACTGAATGCACATGTCTATCGTCCTTCTTAACACAATACGGCTAACCCGTTCAATAACCAACTTGATACTGCCACACTGACTGACTGATCGAGAGAGAGAGAGAGAGAGAGAGAGAGACCGAGCTCAGCCGTCGCCTTCCTATATATCCCCTTCGTACTCGTAATCGTATTCGGTTCTATCATAATCGTAATCGTAATCGATTCTAATCGTTGCATCAGAATGTTAATTACGCCGCTTCTGTCGTACAGTCCGATTTAATAAGCCATCTGCATCCTGTCACATCAAAGTTGACAGACCGTATTGCGTTCTTATCGTATCGCTTCCCAAGATACTACGCCTTGGCTTTCTGATCGTTATCAGCCAACACCTGCGTTATTACATCAGTCGTGTCAAAGTTGACAGCGCTGTACTGCGTTCTTATGTCTCTGGTAACTTCCCCTAGTTACATCCACCCCTGCCTTTTTTTGTGTGTTATCAACCACAAACAACGCTTGGCAGGTGCAGTCCTTCAAAGTCAATCGCACCACCGTAAAAAAAAATTTATTGTTCCACTCACTGTCAATGTCGTCACATTCGTATAAGATTGACCGTTATCCCTATTTCACATATCAAATGTGTCTACATCATCTTCCTCAGACACAAAACAGTTCTAGAATTCACATCCACCCTTTTTCGTTTGGTGCCTTCACCAGTTCACTTGTATGACTTTTTGAACAGTCTGTTCTCATACCAGCGCGACCATGAAAGAATTGATGGTTGCTGACAAAAAATTTCGTATTCTTTCTGTTTCTCAAACTTCTCCGCGGACCACTTATCTGATGGTCTACTGTCTCTCTGCTTCTGGGAGGAACGGGATCCTCTTCGTTGCCGTTATCCTCCACTTGTGTATCGCTGTTGTTCTGTTGATGGTGACATGGTTCCGGGATGGGTATGTGAATTTCCGTTATAGTTTCCGGTTCCCTAATTGTCTTGGGTTTCCTTGTGTGTAACTGCTCTTCTTGACTATGACAATATTTCTTTAATTGAGCAATATTCGCCCACCGATCCGGTTTGGTGTGATCGATGGGTCTTATCTTAAAGGGGCCACCTGCTACTTTAGGCATCTCCACGACTTGCCATATCTCCTGTCCCCAGAGGTCGTGGATTTTGTTTCTGCCTAACGGGTGGCTACGCAGTAATACCCTGTCGTTCAGTTTGAGTGGCGGGTCCTTTGTCTGTACCGGCGGTTCCCTTCGCCGTGCTTCATGTTCTAGTCTTTCCTGTACTACCCTGTACATTTCTCTAATTCGTCTCATATGTTCATTCACATATTCCAGTGCAGTGTATGAGCCAGTCATACTCTCCTTTTTTCCTAGGAACAAGTCAAGGGGGAGTCGAGCCTCCCGTCCGAACAGCAACATGTGTGGCGAAAAGCCGGTTGTGGCATGGGGGGTGCAGTTGTATAGATATACCAACTCTGGGAGAAAATCAGGCCAACGTTTTTTCTGTTCAGGTTCTAGGGTACGCAGCAAATCATGCATGCTGCGGTTGAACCGCTCGCACTGTCCGTTTCCTTTCGGATTAAATGTGGTTGTTCTAGATTTGTTGATCCCGTAGTGTTTGCACAGTTGGTTAATTACTTCTGACTCAAAGGCCCTTCCTTGGTCAGAGTGTAATTGTCTTGGTATGCCATATTTGATGAACCAATGTTCTATTAAGACCTTTGCCACTGTTTTGGCAGTCTGATCTCGTGTGGGCACCGCCACAGTCCATTTGGTGAATACATCAGTCACTACCAACACATGTTCCGTCCCATCCGATGATTGCTCCAACGACGTAAAGTCCATAGCCACAATCTCTAGTGGTTTTGTCGCTAGTAGGTGTCCTGATGGCTGTCTCATTTTGACAACTGGCATTTTCGCATGCTGACACCTCACACAAGCCTCACAATGGCGTTTGACCTCCATTTCCATATTGGGCCAGTAACACCTCCGTCGTAATATTTTGTGCGTCCTGTCCTGACCCTGGTGTCCTGCCCTGTCATGTGCCAACCTTAGCACTTCTTCTCGTAATTGTCCAGGCACCACCACCTGGTGTATTGTCCCATCAATTTGGTCATGAATTCTCCGCATGAGAACACCATCCTTTATACTGAGACGGTCCCACTGACTCAGTATTTTCTTTGTTTCTCGACCAAATTGTTCTCTTTCCCTTCTTCCTGGGAATTTTTGTTCCTGGACGTGTTTCAACAGCGGCTGTAAGCCACTATCCGTTCTCTGGGCATCTCTTATCTCTTCATTATTAAGGCAATTAAAATCACCGATGTCCATATGTCCGGGCTCTGTGGAAATGTGCTCCACCCCGGTCTGTCCGTTCTGCCTCACTTGCACCCCGTGAGGGATATCTGTTGACGCTCTGACCTCACATATTCCTGTCAGCATTTCTTCCTCATCGCCCGGTCTCTCGTACGGATTCCTTGATAAAGCGTCCGCATTGCCATTGGACCGCCCCGGGCGATATTTTATCTCCAGGTCAAGGAGCGCCAATTCTGCTGCCCATCGCTGTTCGATGGATCCCAACTTTGCTGTCTTTAGGTGACTCAAGGGGTTATTGTCAGTGTATACCACACATTTAGCACCTAATAGATAGTCCCTGAATTTTTCAGTCACAGCCCATTTTAATGTCAAAAGTTCTAGTTTCATGGCGCTGTAATTTGTCATGTTCTTCTCTGATTCCTTCAGAGCTCGACTGGCATACGCAATAACCCTGAAACCTTGCTTTTGTTGTTGTGATAGCACAGCTCCCAGACCTTTAGAGCTGGCGTCAATTTCTAGCCGAAATGGTTTGTCAAAGTCCGCGTATCCTAATATCGGCGTCTCTGTCAAAGCCTTTTTCAAGAGCTTAAACGAGTTCAGGCATTCATCAGTCCATAATTCACCTATCAGTTGTGTTTTGCCTTTCTTTTTCTCCTTACTGTGTTTCTTTGTCATTTTGTTTACCAAGTCATGCAACGGTGCGGCAATTTTTGCAAAACCAGGTACAAATTTTCTATAATAGGAAGCAAAGCCCAAGAATGATCTGACCTCTACCGTGGTTGTTGGCTGTTTCCATTCTTTAACAGCTGCAATTTTATCTGGGTCAGTGGCGATGCCATCCGACGAAATCACATAACCCAAAAAACGTACCGATTTCAGACCGAAGCAGCATTTGTCTGGGTTCAGCTTTACTCCTATGTCTCTAAGACGGAGAAACACTTGTTCTAATCTTTCTAGATGGTCCTCCCAAGTTTTTGAGTAAACTAGTATATCATCCAAGTACACCAACATTATTTGAAATAGAAAGTCACTCATAGTACTCTGCATTACTCGCTGGAATGTAGCAGGCGCATTAGTTAGACCAAACGGCATACGGGTCCACTCGTACAGTCCCAGTGGAGAAATAAATGCAGTCTTATGTTGATCGTTGGGGTGCATGGCCACTTGGTGGTAGCCGCTAGCCAAATCCAAGGTAGAAAAAAATCTTGCTCCCCCCAACGCATCAAGACATTCATCAATACGAGGCAAGGGGAATGCATCCCTTCTTGTGATATTGTTCAATTTCCGGTAATCACAACACAGTCTTATCTCCCCTGACTTCTTTTTTTACCACTACTATCGGTGCCGCATACGGGCTAGTGCTGGTTGTAATAATTCCCTTTTTTAGTAGATCGTTCAGGTGTGCTTTCACCGCCGAGTAGTGACTTGGTGGTAATCTTCGATAAGGTTGCGCCACAGGCCTGTCCTGTAGTAAGGGTATCTGGTGTTTTATTACTTCCGTGTAACCCAAATCACCCTCGTACGAGGCAAATATATCCCTGTACTTATTCAGCAATTCATTTAGTTTTGGGTCCTCAGTTTCTGGGAATGTATATGTTCGGCCATCCTCTTTCTTCACCTCGGCCGTCACATTGACCGACCTAATTGTTACTTCATTACTGCTGGTATTGCTCAGTTCGATGCACTGTGCCGACCTTAGTACCTCGACGTTCTGTGGTACTCCTACCAGAGTATTAGGCGGTATAAACATTTCCTCATCCAAAACATTTGCCACTAATCCTTGAACTAGTCCATTTTCCGCTGATGTGTATGTCCGCAGTAACACGACGCCTGCCCTCAGTGCGGCGCCACATGGTTCTATCATCACATCACCATTCACGCTTCTATCACCAATTTGTAATGTGATTGCCTTGACCGTGTTTGCCGGGACTGATATCCTTCCTCTGGTCTTGGCAAACCTGGCCAACTTGGATCCCCGACCTGGTGTGGTCGATCCGACAATATTTGTAAGAAATTCTGGCAACTGGCCAAGAATATTCATGCCCAACAGGCAAGGTATATTTGACACATTTGTCTCTAGGTTGTGTTTCGTAACGAACACCCCAACCTGCTTCAACCTATGTCCCGCCACCACGACATCCGCCAGAAAATAACCACAGTATGGAATGGTTAGTCCATTAGCTGCCGTCAGGCGCATGCATGTGTCAGACCTCAACCTATGGTCTTTTCCTTTCATCCATTTGGTGTAAAAATTTTCCGTAATTGTCGTCACCTGGGAGCCTGTATCCACAATTGCCTTCACCGCGATGTCCCCAATCGTAATCACCATTTCGGGACAGACTCCCATCATTTTGTTTCTTGGGCCATAACCTCGCCCCTCTGTAGCCTGGCCCTGCCTTACAGAGGACGACCGTTTCCCTGACAGTACCGTGCCATATGTCCGGGTTGTGAACAGGACAAGCAAATTGGTCGACCGTCAGCCGTCCACCGGAGCGATGGACCGGCGGGTCGCGGCCGTCCAACCTGTCTCTGTTTTGTCCCGTTCTTTTCCTGGTTCTCAGCTGTTGACCTGCTTTCTAACCTCTCCAATCGTTGGTCAACCTTATCCAGGTGGGCCAACAGTTGAGCCATCATGGTTTCCACCGTGCCGGTCCCTGTGGGTGGGAATTGTTTCTGTTCCGGCACAGAGACTTTGTCCACCGAACAGTTCGATTGGTCCTCATCCTCGGACCTGCGGATCGCTGAGTTCCTGACCTGAAGGAAGGTCAACTGCGGGTCTTTGTGGACCTCCTCTTTCAACTCTCTCCTTAAGATCGGGGTTGCTAGCCCCTCGATGAAATGGTCCCTCAGTAGGCGTACATCAATGTCAGGTGTTTTGCCCTTTACCGAATCAAAGGCCCTGTTCATTCGGTGTGAATACTCCATCACACTCTCCGCCATTCTCTGCTTTAAGCCTACGAACCCCGATAGCAGTTGCGATCGCGACCGTCTCTCCCCAAAGGTCTCCATAATTAGATCCAGCACCTTATCTGGATCTGATTGGATGGTTTTATCGTGGCATTTGACCTCTGCCCTAACCGTCTCTCCTATACTGCCCATCAGCAGTCTTAATCTTTCCTCTGGTGACATGTGTCTCGAGGCCCAGGCCGCTTTGACCTCTTCACTGAACCTGTTGGTTAAAGCTGGATCACCGTCCCCGTAAAATTTGTTAATGTGGGACTCTCTGGGCAGGACCACAATATGGGTCTGCTTCTCGTCCAGAGTAGACATTTTATTCCTTGAGTAAAAAAAAAAGAGTTCTTTCTTACCGTGTGTGTATGAAAAATTTTCCTCGTTCCTCAATTTTCACTGTTCCTGAATGTCCGAATTCACACACACACGAAACACAGTTATGAACAAGGTTGACTATGGGTGCCTCAAGCGGCAAGTCTCGTTGAATTCATCCTGTCCGCAGCGCCAGATGTAACGAGACTATTTGCCTGTAGTGCCAAATGTTAACGAGTTCTGCTCGACAACGCCAAATGTTACCGAGTCTAACCACTCATTCTACACAACATCGACCACAGTATAGATACTCGAAGATGCAGGTTCGCTATTGATCCTTTTATTACATGAATCAAAGAAATGCTTCACAATAATATAATGAATCAAAAGGAATGCTTCACAATAATAGTCTGAATCAACTGACCCCCAACAGTCCTCACTAGTCTTCACATAACTGAATGCACATGTCTATCGTCCTTCTTAACACAATACGGCTAACCCGTTCAATAACCAACTTGATACTGCCACACTGACTGACTGATCGAGAGAGAGAGAGAGAGAGAGAGAGACCGAGCTCAGCCGTCGCCTTCCTATATATCCCCTTCGTACTCGTAATCGTATTCGGTTCTATCATAATCGTAATCGTAATCGATTCTAATCGTTGCATCAGAATGTTAATTACGCCGCTTCTGTCGTACAGTCCGATTTAATAAGCCATCTGCATCCTGTCACATCAAAGTTGACAGACCGTATTGCGTTCTTATCGTATCGCTTCCCAAGATACTACGCCTTGGCTTTCTGATCGTTATCAGCCAACACCTGCGTTATTACATCAGTCGTGTCAAAGTTGACAGCGCTGTACTGCGTTCTTATGTCTCTGGTAACTTCCCCTAGTTACATATATATATATATATATATATATATATATATATATATATATATATATATATATATATATATATATATATATATTAAAGACTGCTTAACAAATCATTCTATTAAATGCCATGGGCAATGGTAAAACAGTAATTTCTAGTAAGAATTAATAAAGATATTAATATTATATTTCTTTCTCCTACTAAATACAATATGTTACAAACTTGGGCTTCACTAAATTACGGTAATTTAAAAAAATTTAAACTTTTTTGGTTGTGTTTTCGCTAAAATGAATGTTTTATTTTAACAATATTCTTGAAGCACCATTGTTCTATGTATGTTCGTTTACCATCTTGTCAACCTGTTTTACCCTCCAGAGTCTGATGGCAACACAAGTTTTGATGACGTACTACCCACTTCTGGAGCTTACACTAAAGCATTTGGTGGTTGCGGGGTGGCTGGTGATCGGATCGTGTTGTTTACGGATATATTTGGTCCAGCAGCTCAGGACGTTTATGGAGAATTAGGTGAAATTTTGTTATATCTAGGACCCGATATTTATAAAATAAAAATATCCATCAACCGTCGATACTAACGTATATATACAACTGATTTTATGCTCTACTACTTCAATAATGGTCTACGAAATAGAGCGCTAGGCTGCTTACCCGAAAGTCTTGAGTTCGAGTCAATAGAAAGTCCACCCAGCTCTGATGAGTACCTAACTCAGGGAAAGTAAAGGCGGTTGTGCGAAGTGCTGACCATACCGTCCCTTCGTATACCGAGGTCAAGAAACATATGAACACTACTTCATCTGCCCATTGGATCTAAAGTGGATTCTTTATTTTACTTTTATAAAGTTACCCTTTCTGGCCTGATAGGGTAGATGAAGTAGAGTTAATCTTTGTTGCGACCATCGTTCAGAAGGGATAGTGTGGTCAGCACTATGCTCGGCCGACTTTACTTTTCCATCAGAGCTGGGTAGACTCAGGCAAGTCTTACAGCCGCGAGATCCGAACTCGAGTCTTTCGGCTGAACAAGTGAGTGATCTATCACTTGGCCACGCCGGCTCATGCTACTATAAGAACATTTAACAATATTTTCTAACAAGAACATTGAGTGCCTTTAAAGGTGTCGACTTAGATAGTTTCTAACAAGAAAATTGAGTGCCTTTAAAAGTGTCAACTACAATATTTTTATGTGTTTAAATATGTTCAAATACAACGGTTCTCTCTCACTTCAATGTCAAGGTCGATTGTTTGTCCACGAATGGGCGCACTTCCGGTACGGCGTGTTCGATGAGTTTGCGCAGCGAGGCGAGCAGCAGTTCTACTTCTCCCCGGCGTCTGGACGACAGGAAGCGGTCAAGTGTAACCGCCATCTTGCCGGCCAGGTCATCAGGTGCCGTACACCCCACATCTCACTCAGAGCTTAGTACACACTAGTAGTAGGAGAATGTTGGGTGCTTAGTACACACTAGTAGTAGGAGAGTTTTGGGTGCTTAGTACACACTAGTAGTAGTAGGATTTTGGGTGCTTAGTACACACTAGTAGTAAGAGAATAGTACACAGTAGTAGTAGGAGAAATTTGGGTGCTTAGTACACAGTAGTAGTAGGAGAATGTTGGGTGCTTAGTACACACTAGTAGTAATAGAATAGTACACAGTAGTAGTAGGAGAAATTTGGGTGCTTAGTACACAGTAGTAGTAGGAGAATGTTGGGTGCTTAGTACACACTAGTAGTAAGAGAATAGTACACAGTAGTAGTAGGAGAAATTTGGGTGCTTAGTACACAGTAGTAGTAGGAGAATGTTGGGTGCTTAGTACACACTAGTAGTAAGAGAATAGTACACAGTAGTAGTAGGAGAAATTTGGGTGCTTAGTACACAGCAGTAGTAGGAGAATTTTGGGTGCTTAGTACACACTAGTAGTAGGAGAAATTTGGGTGCTTAGTACACACTAGTAGTAGGAGAATTTTGGGTGACTAGTACACACTAGTAGTAGGAGGAAAATTTGTATAATCTGTTGCCGTGGTTGCTGTCCTAACCCTAATATCAAACCTGATCCCAACTCTAATGCTATTGTTCCTATCCCTATCCTATCCCAAAAAAAAAAGAAAATCCTCGAAACGATATAATGAGTCCTATCGCCAGTTTTATATGATCTTAAAATATATTTCTAGAATGTACGGCCATTAAGAACTAAAGAAGGGGAGGGGGGCAAATTTAATATGACATTTATGAAAAAAAAATTATTCGATTCAATTAAGCTTACAATAATTAAAGATATATACACTATCCATTGAGTAAAAATAATGTACTAATGTTAGATTAAAAGTACTATGTAATTATTGACTTTTAGCGACATTACAAATCAAAATGTCTAACTGTCTTGTTAGACAGCACCCCCACCCCCCACCCCCCATCCCTTCCCAGCTATCTAACAACCATAAAATGTAGAGTGGGGAATATTTACGGGTCACTGTTCATGCTTTCAACAATATTTATTTGCTCTAATTTCTATCTAACTCTACTGCTAACAAGACACGGATAATTAGAGATTCACGCCTATTACCATATCAATTAATTAGAGATTCACACCTATTACCATATCAATTAATTAGAGATTCACGCCTATTACCATATCAATTAATTAGAGATTCACGCCTATTACCATATCAATTAATTAGAGATTCACACCTATTACCATATCAATTAATTAGAAATTCACGCCTATTACCATATCAATTAATTAGAGATTCACACCTATTACCATATCAATTAATTAGAGATTCACACCTATTACCATATCAATTAATTAGAGATTCACACCTATTACCATATCAATTAATTAGAGATTCACACCTATTACCATATCAATTAATTAGAGATTCACACCTATTACCATATCAATTAATTAGAGATTCACACCTATTACCATATCAATTAATTAGAGATTCACACCTATTACCATATCAATTAATTAGAGATTCACACCTATTACCATATCAATTAATTAGAGATTCACGCCTATTACCATATCAATTAATTAGAGATTCACGCCTATTACCATATCAATTAATTAGAGATTCACGCCTATTACCATATTAATTAATTAGAGATTCACACCTATTACCATATCAATTAATTAGAGATTCACACCTATTACCATATCAATTAATTAGAGATTCACACCTATTACCATATCAATTAATTAGAGATTCACACCTATTACCATATCAATTAATTAGAGATTCACACCTATTACCATATCAATTAATTAGAGATTCCCGCCAATTACCACATCAAGGAACAGTCCACCCTAGAACTTCAATACCGCGGTTGCAATATTAATTAAACACATTTTGTTTGCTGTTTTCTAGAAGAATCTCAAACGAGAGTGACGTCAACTGCAGCAGTGTGAACCCCCAGAGTGGGATGTACGATGACGGATGTTTTTTCCAGCCTGTGACGTCAGATGGGGTCAACGCCAATGTGACGTCATCCATCATGGACACGATAAAAATACCCTCTGTAAGTAGAAAGAGAGAGAAATGTTTTAATATGGAGATTATCTTTTGTGTGTGTGGGGTGGGGGGGGGGGGCTTTTGGTAATTAATGTGAAATTTCAGATGATATTGACAAATGGTAATCAACTCACATTATTCCAGAAGTTAATGACTTACTTACTTGATAAGGCTGTGTGGTGGTGGTGGTGGGGGGGGGGGGGGATTTTAAGGGCGCCCAAATTTCGTTTTCAAACTGTAGTAAATTTCCTACTGAATTTTATTCTAAATGGCAAAATGTGCGGATGAATTTTAAAATTACAATTTTAAAAACAAAAAGAATATCAAACAAAAATACGAAGTGTTCACCATGGCGCCCCTGACACCCGGGAGGTTACACCAGACCCTTCTTTCGGCGCCTCGGCAGTAGATTACGATTGGGCGCCCCGAGTTTCCCATCAGCTACTTGAAAGAGTCAGGGGAACAAATTGATTCGTCAAAGCGCCACATCGCCGCTTCCGGCGCCCCTGCGGTTAGGTGACCCGGAGCAACCCGGGCTCCTCTCCCCTGCAATCAGTGTTTCTTCCAGTCTTTTTTCTCCTTGGGGGGGGGGGGGCACTTGAAATTTTCGAGGGGGAGGGGCGGGGCGGACTATAATTTCCAGGGGAGGAAACTGTTAAAAGCATATATTTTTTTACATCTATTCCATTTTGTTCGGGAAGGGGGGTGGGGCGGTAGACTTTCTATGGGAGGGGGGGGGGGCGGAGCCAATCTCCCCCTCCCCCGAAGAGATGTCTGTTAGAAATTCTGCCTGCAACAGGGACACGGTTTATCATTACATGTGGTGACGGAACCGAACCAAGAGTGGCAACCTGCGCCCCTGCATTAGTGTAGCCGGTGGCTCCCGAGAACACCCCGCGACGCCCCTGGGTTTTTATACAGCACACCCTGTGGCGTCTGAGCTCTACTGTATGACAAATTAAATGGTGTAGGCCTAACGTTACGTTTAAATTATCTTTGTTATTTGCCAATTGTAAATTTGAAATAACCAAGGGAAGCAACCTTACAGTTTTGTTTTAGAAAAACTAAAAAGTTAGAGTTACATTCAATAGCTACACAACAGAAATGTAGTTCATTGTATATTAATACTCTAATTAACCGCATAAACCATCTTTAAAAAGTTATGAATAAAACCCCTGTGATTATTACATTCTAGAACTATTACTTGGCTGTAGATCAAATAAGAAACATTAAATTTATTAAATGTTTAAAATGTTAATTTTTTAAATTTATAAGTAACAGTACTTAAAATATTTCTCATATCGACATCCATAAAAACAAAATTTAAAAAAAAAGAGAAAAGAAAAACAGAAAAACAGAGTAAATATTCTTAGGACTGTGGGCCCTCTTCTCGGCATTCTTGCTAAAATCTCAGTGTTGTATGTGACATGAATCTACGGCCTATGTGGATCTTAGCCATTTAGTTAGTCGGCCCTCCTTAGGGTCGATTGTCGGGGTCGAAACGCGGTCATATGTACTCAACTCATTAAGCATCAAATGCAACTTTAAACCAAGACCAATGTTCTAACCGTCGTTACCAATGTTCTAACCGTAATTACCAATGTTCTAACCATCATCAACAATGTTCTAACCGTCATCACCAATGTTCTAACCGTCATTACCAATGTTCTAACCGTCATTACCAATGTTTTAACCGTCATTGTCAATGTTCTAGCCGTCATCACCAATGTTCTAACCGTCATTACCAATATTCTTACCGTCATCACCAATGTTCTAACCGTCATCACCAATGTTCTAACTGTCATTACCAATGTTCTAACCGTCATTACCAATGTTCTAACCATCATCACCAATGTTCTAACCGTCATTACCAAATGTTATAACCGTCATTACCAATGTTCTAACCATCATCACCAATGTTCTAACCGTCATTACCAATGTTCTAACCGTCATTACCAATGTTTTAACCGTCATTGTCAATGTTCTAGCCGTCATCACCAATGTTCTAACCGTCATTACCAATATTCTTACCGTCATCACCAATGTTCTAACCATCATCACCAATGTTCTAACTGTCATTACCAATGTTCTAACCGTCATTACCAATGTTCTAACTGTCATTACCAATGTTCTAACCGTCATTACCAATGTTCTAACTGTCATTACCAATGTTCTAACCGTCATTACCAATGTTCTAACTGTCATTACCAATGTTCTAACCGTCATTACCAATGTTCTAACCGTCATTACCAATGTTCTAACCGTCATCACCAATGTTCTAACCGTCATCACCAATGTTCTAGCCGTCATTACCAATGATCTAACCGTCATTACCAATGTTTTAACCGTCATTGTCAATGTTCTAACCGTCATCACCAATGTTCTAACCGTCATCACCAATGTTCTAACCGTCATCACCAATGTTCTAACCGTCATCACCAATGTTCTAGCTGTCATCACCAATGTTCTAACCGTCATTACCAATGTTCTAACCGTCATTACCAATGTTCTAATCGTCATCACCAATGTTCTTACCGTCATTACCAATGTTCTAACCGTCATTACCAATGTTCTAACCGTCATCACCAATGTTCTAACCGTCATCACCAATGTTCTAACCGTCATCACCAAGTTCTAACCGTCTTTACCAATGTTCTAACCGTCATTGTCAATGTTCTTACCGTCATAACCAATGTTCTAACCGTCATTACCAATATTCTAACCGTCATTGTCAATGTTTTAACCGTCATTAGCAATATTCTTAACGTCATTACCAATGTTCTAACCGTCATCACCAATGTTCTAACCATCATCACCAATGTTCTAAACGTCATCACCAATGTTCTAACCATCATCACCAATGTTCTAACCATCATCACCAATGTTCTAGCCGTCATCACCAATGCTCTAACCGTCATTACCAATGTTCTAACCGTCATTACCAATGTTCTAACCGTCATCACCAATGTTCTAACCGTCATCACCAATGTTCTAACCGTCATTGTCAATGTTCTAGCCGTCATCACCAATGCTCTAACCGTCATTACCAATGTTCTAACCTTCATTACCAATGTTCTAACCGTCATCACCAATGTTCTAACCGTCATCACCAATGTTCTAACCGTCATTGTCAATGTTCTAGCCGTCATCACCAATGCTCTAACCGTCATTACCAATGTTCTAACCTTCATTACCAATGTTCTAACCGTCATTGTCAATGTTCTAACCGTCATTACCAATGCTTTAACCGTCATTACCAATGTTCTAACCGTCATTACCAATGTTCTAACCGTCATCACCAATGTTCTAACCGTTATCACCAATGTTCTAACCGTCATTGTCAATGATCTAGCCGTCATCACCAATGCTCTAACCGTCATCACCAATGTTCTAACCGTCATTACCAATGTTCTAACCGTCATCACAACTGTTCTAACCGTCATCACCAATGTTCTAACCGTCATTACCAATATTCTAACAGTCATCACAACTGTTCTAACCGTCATTACCAATGTTCTAACCGTCATCACCAATGTTCTAACCGTCATTACCAATATTCTAACCGTCATTACCAATGTTCTAACCGTCATCACCAATGTTCTAACCGTCATTACCAATGTTCTAACCGTCATCCATGACGTACTGCAGGTGGTGCACTTTTGCAACGACAACACCACCGACACCAACAGAATCCACAACTACGAAGCGCCGAGCAGACACAACCGGCTCTGTGGCGGGAAAAGCAGTTGGTCCGTTATTTCAGAAAATCAAGGTAAAATTACAATCGTACTCTTCACTGGTAGACAGGAGCTTGAGTTGGTTTTTTTTTTTCTGTCCATAGACCGTTATCCAATGGATAACAATGGTCGTCTAGTATATGATAAGTCTCGGGGCTTGAGTTTATATAACGTCCCTGAGTCGAATCAGCTGTGAGAGGTACCTGACTCATGCTAGGGGAAGTAATTCAGGCTAAGCATAATGCTGACCACAGTATCCATTCGTATGATGAGGTCAGTGAAATATATGAACTCTACTTCATCTGTCCGTCAGTTTTGCACTTTGTTGATATTTTAAAACCCCAGTATTTGGAAACCTTAGAGCGCATGGACTTAATTCATTCTTAAGCTTTTATGGTCACATGCAGAGTTTCTTCCAGACTTTTTTCTCCGGGGGGGGGGGGGGGGCACTTGAAAGTTTCGAGGGGGGGGGGCGGGGTAGACTTTCTTCGGCGGGGCGGACAGTGTTAAAAGTATATATTTTCTATATAAATTATATAAATTTCATTTTGTTCGGGGGGGGGGGGGGAAGAAACTCTGGTCACGTGAAGATTTGTATGCGTCAAACAACATTTTTAAATAATCCGAACTGTTCCTAGTATTTTTATTTAATGAAAAGTATGAAAATACTATTTAATATAATAATATGCAATGTTATTTAGCCTATAAAATATATACAGAATGCATATTTGTAATAAACCGGGAGTGATCTCCCCTAAACTTTCTCGAATATTCTTATATAAAACAACAGGGGATGGGAACTCGGGCTATTGACATGATTTTTAATCCATTTTAAATACTTAAAGTTTTAAAAATAGAATAAAATCTCGTAGACAAAATTATTGCACGCCAAGTGAACTAGTGAACGCCAAATAAAAAAGTGCACAATAGCGCGCAATATTATTAGTACTTTAAAAATTTACATTAGTTTTTTGAGAAATCGGAAGTAGCGTAAATTACTACTTCCGGTCAACGGAAATTACTCAAAATTTAACAGAAGGTAGAGAATTAGATGTTTTACTTACATGTGAAATTTCATTTATCTATCTGAAATAGTACTCAAGTTATAGGCTTTTGAAAAATTCAAAGTAGGAAAAGTACCACTTCCGGTTATCGGAAATCGCTCAAAAGTTGATACGGATCTACGATTTTGATAAAATACTTATATATGAAATTTCATCAACCTAGCTATAACGTTACTCAAGTAATCGTGTTTACACACGGACACACACACAGACACACAGACATACGGACAGAATTGCAAAGCCCAGTTTTTCAGACTGGATTACGCATAAAACCTCTTAATTTTGATAAATCTGGATTGATAATTTTTGCCCGATTAAAATAAGTCCTCTATACTTCGGATGTGATGAAGGACTGAGGTGTAATACGGCGAAAATTGTTAAAATTTCAAGTGATTTTTGTGCACGATTACAATACTTTCTCTATACTTCGTATATACGAGAAAGTAAAAAGTTACTAAAATAGCCTATCTATAAAAAAATTTAACGTTACGCCATATTTGATTAATAACTTAACGAGCGTAATTATTTATTTTAAAAATATATTTCCCTGCTTTAATGAATGAGGCAAATGAATGAAACTGCATGTTATTCGAGGCGTTTAGATTTCCGCCACGGTAAGAACCCACCACGAGATGTCGCTGATACAAGGCCAACATTTCGAGTTGTCCGCCTTGGTACAGGGAGACAACTGCTGCTGGCTATAGACACCTCAAGCAGTATGAAGGTTTGTAAACACACTGTAGCGTCCGTTAAGTACGTCACGTGTTCAACCCCCACACCCAACCCACGTATTATCACAAAATGACATCAATAACGCCTCTTCTCCATTTAGCAGCAAACCATTTTTTGTGTCACTTTAAACAATAGTCATTCCCCTTCAAGAAATGTGTATAGCAGTACAAATAACAAACTATGTTAAGAAGGGATACTACTTAGCTCCTCCCTGCTAAACCAGGGGTCTGCAACCTTTTGAAGCGGAAGAGCCAAAAGTTACTATTTCCCTGGTTTTAAAGAGCCACTAACATTTTTTTATTTCAAATATTTTATTTTTTTATTAAGATTATTAGTATTTGTTCAAGGAGCTGGAGAGCCGCATCTTGATATCAAAAGAGCCGCATGAGGCTCGCGAGCCGCAGGTTGCCGACCCCTGTGCTAAACCCATCGCTATTGATTTTATTGAACAATTTGTTTCCCTACATAGAAAATTCTTCACTGTCCCATTGACCCTCTTTGAACAATTTTCTTTCCACTCCCGGAATCCTGACACTTTCAGGTGACCGTCACCCCTTTTACTGTCATCCTTTGCAATTTTTTACAATCATATACATGACATCATGTAAATATTCATTATGTACACTTGCAAAACCTTTCGTTTTCATTTGATGTTCCAAATTATGTAAAAAAAAATTGATGTTGATGTACTTGTTTTAAAATTGCAAATAAAAGTATTTAAAAAATTTAAAAAAAAAATTGAACAATTCAGAAATTCCATCTGAAGATGACGTGAAGTAAAAGTCCCTTTTCAAACCTGACGGAGTTCACTTGTTTTTGTGACCTCGGCATACGAAGGGATAGTGTGGTCAGCACTATGCCCAGCCGCCTATTCTTACCCTAACGAGAGTTGGGTATCCACTGACTTGAACCCGGATTCGAACTCAAGAATTACGGGTAAGCAGGCACAGTGCACAGCTCTCTATCGCTACGCCCCGCCCCACGAAGATCAGGTGTAAACCTATTGGTAAAATTTCATTACAACATCCCCAAAAAAAAAAAAATCCAGATTTACAGAGATTGGAAAATAACCTACTGCTTAAACCTGTCATCTTTATAACAACCTCCCCCCCCCCCCAGCTTTCCTCCACGAGACTAATGTTATTTGTGAACAATTGCATGCACATTTTAAACTATTACTTAGGAATATTTATATAACTATTTTAAATAAAATAACTTTTTAATTAATTAATTTACAGAAAGGCAATAAACTAACCAGGTCAAGGCAAGCAATCTCAACATTCATTGGTGGTCTCGATCCTGGGGTTCTGTTGGGAGTGATCTCCTTCGCTTCATCCGCTGAAGTTTTGGTTCCCCTCACCCGCATCACTGATGATGCGACAAGGGAAACAATGGTGAAAATATTGCCGTCTTCCACCCAAGGGCAGACAAACATAAGCTCAGCTTTGTCAACAGCTTTGGAGGTAAGGATTACGTCGCACATTTTCTTGAGGCAATAGTAATTTTTTTAAAAAGTTTTAAATATCTAAATGAGGCAAAACAGAAATATTGAAAAAATAATTAGTAGATGTTTCTCATTCCCCATGTAACTCTTGTTAGATTGTACCGTGTTCGGTATTTCTTCGGTTGTCTCCCATACGCTAGTTAGGGATAGATAAACTTCGAAAGTAATAGTATAGTTCTAGTTCTAGGGTTTTTTAAATAAACTACGTTTAAATATTTTAGTGAGAAAAAAAGTATAACTTGCACAAGGTATAAACAAGGCTAACACCGTATCGATCCAAAATCGATCTGAATTTTACCACCATTACAACATACCGTACAAGATGAGTGTTAATGTTCCTCATACCGTAAGACCTCAAGCTTATCTTATCTAATTGGACCCAATTAATTAACATGGCGCACCTGTCCTTCCACCAGGTGTTGACGAGAAATGGCAGCAGCGCTTCCGGTACCTTCTTGGTTCTCATCACAGACGGCAAAGACACGTCACTGGCCAGGCTGGGTCACGTGATGCCCGCTGTCAGAGACGCGGGGGTGGTGACCAGTTTGATCTCGTTCTCCAGTAGCCAGGTGCCAGAGCTGGAACTGTTGGCTGAGAGTACAGGTAGGTGGGCATTTACTTTGGTTATTTAGACATTTACTTTGGTCATTTAGACATTTACCTGGATCATTTAGCCATTTACCTGGATCATTTAGCCATTTACCTGGGTCTTTAGACATTTACCTGGATCATTTAGCCATTTACCTGGATCACTTAGATAGACATTTACCTGCATCATTTAGCCATTTACCTGGATCATTTGGCCATTTACCTGGAACACTTAGACACATTTACCTAAATCGCTCAGTTAGACATTTATCCGGATCATTTAGACAGATATTTGTAAATTTTAGTCAGAAATCTTCTTCATTAAACTTGGCATGTTTGACCCCTACATCATAATCCAACAAACTGTCACTTCCACTTATGGGTCGCCAGTGGGTTGAGTCAAGCTTTTTTACCTACCATAAATTATACTATTTAAAAAAAAAAATTAAAAAAAAAACCGAACCAGAAAAAAAAATAAAAAAATTAACACCAATTTCTTTCTTCACCAAAATAAAACTTCGACCAACTATTTGTTAGATATATGTAATGAAGAAACATTAAATCTGTTTTAGTTAGTTGTAATTACTAGCGCTTTGATGCACAAAAACCTTACCTCCTTCCACCCTTACCCTGCACGTCCACTCTAGTTTCTAACCGATTCTTTGTAGAAATTTTCTTAGAATTTTCTTAACGGTAGTTATCACACCTTTTTTACTGTTACAGGAGGTAGATACTATTATGACATGGAAAGCGAAACTTCAACACTGATATTTGATGCTATGCTGGATATCTACCTAATGCTTCAGCCTGATCGCAGGAAAATACCTGTACAGGTAAAAATTATTTACAGTAATTATGGGAAAATATTTACTGCTATTATAGTTTTATATACAAGTTAGTAATTTTATCTTATTTTTTAGCGCAATTTCCATACGGACGATTGCGATTATTAACTCGTCATTTCTGGATGTATGAATGGATGGATGTGTGTCCGCAGCTTTAAGTCGTATCTCCTCCTCCACGAAGCAATATCGAGGACTAGTTCCAAAAGCAAATATGTTAAGCAAGTTCCGAGGATGATTGTGGGCCAAAAAAATTCCCGGAATTCCTTCCTGGATTTCCCGGAAAAGCAAAAAAATGCAGTTTTTGGCCCATATCTAGGCAACCAGACCCCTTAGCGACTTGAAACATTTACCAATCGATTCCTGCCATAATTTAGAACAATATTGCCGAAGAAAGTTTTCAAAAATATCCTTTCGTTCGGTCACAAAAAATTAATTAAGGAAATTGCGCTTAAATTGTCACTAGACTTTTTATTAACTTGTTTTTAAATTTCAGATAGTTGGTGAATCCAAGTATTTAGACATGTCGGGGTCAATGACTGGGAGTTTTAAACTGGACGGCAGTGTTGGCAGGAATACAAGGGCGATAATAACCTACAGCACAAAATCTCCACCAAATATTACAGTTGTTTCCCCTACTGGGCGAAAATATTGCAGCTTGTACCCTGAGTATTACGATGATTCAGAGCTTCATCAAGTTCAAATAACGGTTCCTGCTTTAGCTGAGGTTTGTTATTTTAGCTCCATCAAGTTCAAATAACGGTTTTATGCGAGGTTTGTTATTTTAGCTCCATCAAGTTCAAATAACGATTCCTGCTTTAGCTGAGGTTTGTTATTTTAGCTCCATCAAGTTAAAATAACGGTTTCTGCTTAGCTGATGTTTGTTACTTTAGCTCCATCAAGTTAAAATAACGATTCCTGCTTTAGCTGAGGTTTGTTACTTTAGCTCCATTAAGTTAAAATAACGATTCCTGCTTTAGCTGAGGTTTGTTAAGTTAAAATAACTGTTCCTGCTTTAGTTCAGGTTTGTTTTATCCTAGTTATATACCTTGACAGATAGAAAGATAGGTGTAAAACAATTTACCCCCTAACCTTGATAGGGGACGGAGTGGTCTAGCAGTAGACAGCTGGACTGCTAACCCGTGTGTCTTGTGTTCAAATCAGTAGACCGTCCCTGAGTCCACCCAACTCTGATGGGTACCTAACTCACGTTAGGGAAAGCAAAGGCGGCTGGGCATAGTGCTGACCACACTATCTCTACATATGCCGAGGTCAAAGAAACAAATGAACTCTACTTCACATGCCCTACAGGTTTGAAAAGGGAACTTTACTTTACTTGATAGGTAGGAAGATGGACCTATAACACTTTATCCCCTAACCTTGACAGGTAGGCAGATGGACCTACAACATCGTCAACGACCATCAAGTCGTCAGCCTCGTGTCCTTCCTTGTGATGTCATCAGCCAGGAGCGACCACGTGACCCCACTACAGTTCAGTGGCGCCCTCCTCGTGGACAACAGCAGCTGGCCTGTCACGGCTGTCGTCACGGCTGAGGCTGTCCGGGACCGGCAGCCGGTGAGGGACGTCCGTGTGACGGCCCGGGTCACGAGACCAGCTGCTGAGCCGGTGGAGTTACAGCTGTTTGATAATGGGATAGGTAGGTTGTGTTAGTCACTAGTGTGTTCTGCAGTGTTTCTTCCAGACTTTTTTCTCCGGGGGGGGGGGGGGGGGAGCACTTGATATTTTCGGGGGGGGGGGGGGGGGCGGACACTGTTAAAAGTATATATTTTCTATATAAATTATATAAATTTCATTTCGTTCGGGGGGGGGGGGTAGAATTTTATCGGAGAGGATGGGGGGCAAAGCCCCCCCCCCCCCCCCGAAGAAATGCCTGGAAGAAACTCTGATGTTCTGTTTGATAATGGGATAGGTAGGTTATGTTAGTCACTATAGTAGCAAGATATGTCTGTATGATAATAGGATAGATATGCCACTTTAGTAACAAGTTACTATATATGATAATCGGATAGAAAGCTGAAATTGCAACCTTACTAGCAAGTTTTCGGTAAGAAAAGGGGATAGGTGGACTGAATTTTGAACTGGTGAATGAGTAATTTAAAACCACACCAGAAGATACGTGTCTTGAAATAACACATGTTGGGTAATGTATAGGTAGACTTAAATAAATTAAATTTAATTATTCTTCTTTTCACTAATTACTATTCCTAAATTAATGAAGGCTTACTCGTTTTATCAACTAAAATTGCAATTTAAACCTTTAAATGTCGATTCATAATTTTTTTTTAATTTAAAATTTCTAATTACTAAAGAGTATACAAATTTTAAAGTCAAACTTTTTTAAAAGTAAAAGCACTGGTTTTGTGAAATTTCTTACAAATTTTAGAAATTAAAGCCTTTACCAATAAAAGAAAAACATGTTGTAATTTTTTTTTCTAATTTTTAAAATTATTTTAATTATATTTAAAATACGGGTTTTTATATTTTTATTTCATTTCTATTTCAATACTTGTTATCTAATATAATTTAAGTGATGGTGCTCTTATTAACTGATTTATTTTTCCGTGTAGGTGCCGACATTCTAGCAGGAGATGGCATCTATTCCAGATATTTCACCCACTTCACGACAGCTGGACTGTACACGGCTTCTATAGAAATGGTAGATGACAAAGGGGAAGCTATCGCAGCAGGGGACATAAGTCAGTTTTTAAAAAACACATAGGCCTACTTTTTTCAAGCATATAAAAATACATTTTTCATTCCTATTTTTAAAATATAACTTACAAAATTAATTAATACATCTATAATAATGGAATAGTGATATCGTATATTCAAATAAATATTTTTTCAATAAAATTATTCAATTTTGAAACACTTTGACTTTTGTCACAAAATGAAGTTCAACACAATTGTTATTGTTTTCAGACACTGATCCTTCTATGGTGGCCCGAACCTTTACTGGCAGTGTTCGGGTCGAACACCCCAAGTTCCACTCCAACTCCAACCAATCCATGGACGAGTGCCCGCCCATGAGGATAACGGACTTGCGAGTGCTTCATACGTCACAGAGTGAGGGTCTTGTGGTGCTGTCGTGGACTGCACCTGGGGATGACGCTGACAATGACAGGGGTGAGTGACATGTGCTGTGACAGATAGCTTGTTGGATGACATCAGGTCTAGACTTACAGCATGACATGTTTTGTGACAGATAACATGTTGGGCGACATCTGGTTCAGATTTATATCATGTCATATGTTGTGACTGATAGTTTATTACAATTTTGCTCTATGGAGCTGAGACATGGAGAATATATATGAAGAAAATGCAGTTATTTATAAGCTATTGTCTCAGAAAGGCTCTTCTTTAAATACGCTGGCCTAAAACATAAGAAATGAGGTACTATGGCAACGGACAAACCAACTGCCAGCTGAAGAAGAGATCCTCCAGAGAAAATGGAGATTGATTCTCCACACACTCACGCCCCTGTATCCAGCAGAATAAGACAGGCCCTTATCTGGAATCCACAAGGCAAAAGGAAAAGATGCCGACTAAGAAACTCCTGGAGACATGACCTGGAAGAAGACACCAAGAAGGTTGGATACACCTGGAGACAGTTGGAGATACTAGCCCAGGACAGAGATGCATCGAAAGCTCTTGTCAGCGACCCATATCCCACGGGGGCAATATTCTAACCTAACAACCTAATATTTTATTAAAATACGTTTTTACTAGAGCGATAGCAAAAGTTGTTAATTAAATTATATTAGATTAATTAATGGTTGTCACTTACTAGATAAGAAATTACATCAATGGAACTGCCATCTAACTTCTCAAAACCTTAAAACTAGAGTCTCTAAGGTAATTGAAAAGTGTGAGTTTTGATATAGGGACAGTGTAGTCAACTTTATCCCTGTCCACCATTACTTTTCTAGACTGTTGTTAGGTGTACCTACCTTTTAGAGCTGGTTGACCTCAGGTATGTCGTACAGACTCTAGCCCTGAATAGCATCCTTACCTTTCCTGCTACATTGACAATATGTCGTCCTTGTGCTGGTACACATTATAGACAAGCTTTAAGATACTGAACCATTGTGTTACAGCCTCGTCCTACACACTACTCATGGCATCTGACGCTGAGTCAATGGTCACCCGGCGAGATTTACCAGAAATAGACCCAGATTTTGTGGTCCAAGGAAATTTAAAATCTCCAAAACATTTTGGTGAAAAAGAGCAGGTAAGTCTAAATTATTCCAGAATTTGATTTTTTTTTTTCAAATTTAAAGACATTAATGATATGTTCATAATGTTTTATGCAAATATTCTAACACATCTTATTTTTTTATTTTGTTTTGTTAAAAAAAATTAAATTAAAATTCCAAGTTTTTAAATTTATTTTCTATTTACAGGTTACATTAAAATTAAAAACTGCGCCTGATGAAAAACGAAGTTTTGTGTTCTCGGTCTTCGCGGTTGACGAGGGCAACAACAAGGGGGAAATATCCAATCTGGTGACTGTGGGGTTGGGGTTTGTTCCAGACATCTCCACCCCCGAGTATCTAGCTGAGGTCACCAAACATGACCCTGACACAAGTACCGACAGCAGCCAAAAGAACCTGGCCATAGCTGTAGTCGTGGGTATATCAGCTGGGCTGCTTGCCGTCACCATAGTAACGACTTTCTGCATTCATTTTGTTGGGGAAATGAAAAGGAAAAGCTTAGAGAACAAGCTCTTTCACAGTGGCACAAATTCTGTTGTGTGATGTTTGAATTTTTTTGTATTACTTTAATCATGCGTTATTGATTTGGTGTGCACAATTTTATAAAGTAAAATATTGATATTTACATAACAAATCTAGGTACAGATGATGGGGTAAGTGTAGATATTGGCATGACAAAATGACGGGTTGTATTAAGGGTTAAATAACTAATTTAAGGCAAATCGGTTGAGTTTGGGAATATAGGTATGATTTACTATGGAATGAGTTAAAATTACTGTGACTGTATGACTTGTTTTATATGGTTGTCTTTGGTATGGGTTTGTGATTTTATAATCAGCTTTACAATCTGTACAAACACATACACCATTTTGTTTGAATACGTCACCTGTAAATATAGGTGTCACAAAAAGTGACATTCTACTCCTCTGATGTTATATCTTCTACTCCCTAGTTCTTCAATAAACTTTGTCCACCCAAGAACACACTAAAAGCTCAGAAGATGTTTTGATTTGAGTTATCTCTCCTAGATGGGCTGCTGTTTTTTTTAACCTAACGAGCCTCTGGTTTGAACTCGGGACTGTGGAGTTAGCAATCATACGCTCTCCCGTCCGACCACGCCGTCTCCGTGACGTCAAATAATAACGGCCTCATTCTTCCTTCATACGGGATTCTTCTGAATCCTTATCTTCACGATTAAACCTATAGTCGTCATTAATATGTAGTTTATTATAAGATACAATCATCGCTGTTGTCCTATTAGTTCACATTAAAAATGTAAAAAAAAATAACTCTTCTCTTGACAGTGGGTGAAGTTACGAATGGCCCCAGCGTGGATAATTCCCCATAAGATCTACGTGAGTGGTTGGCCCCAGGCCCGTGTGGGTGGTTGGCCCCAGGCCCGTGTGGGTTGTTGGCCCCAGGCCCGTGTGGGTGGTTGGCCCCAGGCCCGTGTGGGTTGTTGGCCCCAGGCCCGTGTGGGTGGTTGGCCCCCGGATCCACGATGTTTGTTGGCCCCAGGCTCCATAATGTTTGTTGGCCCAACAACCTCACATATACCTAACACCACCCTGGCCCATTATATTTATGCTTCAAAATGCCAAACACAAAAAACCTCTGAGGAAAAAAAATGTATTTAAGCACCATTTTGTTTCCTGTTATGGTCGGCTGTGAATTTCTAAACATTAAAATGTGATATGCAGGCAATATCTAAGCGAAATTGTATATCTATAAAATAATGTGTTAATGTGTGTTAATCGATGTTTATAACTAATGATGGATATTTTTAATTAATTTATTGCAAATATTGATCAAGCTGGTCACTCTCCTGTTAAATATTTTCATTTTATGTACAAGAATGAAATCATAAGCGCTTTGTGTATAGTAAACAAATATTTCAAATGTTGTTGAAATCGGGGATTTTCCCGATATTTTTCTCATGGATTGGGGGGGGGGGGGGGGGGTCGGGGGGGGGTCGGGCACTTGAAATTTTCAGTTAAATTTTTTTCTATTTTGATGTAGGGGGGCTACCTTACCTCCTCTCCCCCCCCCCCCCACACACACACACACACACTCACAAAAACGCAATCGTTATCTAGACTATGTATAAAATATTCCCCACAGTTCTTATTATTGCAATTATCCTGGTTCAACAATGTTAACTTTCTTTTTAACTACCTTGATTACAGATGCTGTGCATACAATTTTTTAAATATATTTTCTAATTTATATTTGTAATTTTGTATTTATCACTAAAATGATTTTGTAAAATGTTTGCTTTTAAAAAAAAAAAATTGCGAAAAAAAAGTCAGATTTTCATCAAACTCCAAAGAAGACGTTTTAAATTCCAACAACAACTTTTTAATATTATTGCCATGTATACAAGTACGAGAACACGACAGCATGAACATTTGGCAGCAGTAAATCAATGGATTGGATTTAAAGTATGGAATCACAAAAAAAAATAATATTGATATGGTGATCTTATTTTCTTGGCTAAATACACGCATATTAATTGACGCCGGTAGTTTAATGTCTACATATTTTAGACACTGAGTATGACAAGGTTTATTTTGTTGTTAATTAAGTACTGAATTACATTATGAGTAATGAAGCATGTGTTATAACAATTTTAGGAAGATTTTGAGTGAGTTCAGAAAATTAAATTATTAAGCGCCAATATTCTTATTTTTTTAAAAATGTAATGTAAACACCTTTGTATTTAGTTTTCTATTTAATATACATGAAGGCTGTTTTTTTTTTCATATTCAGTGCAATGTAAAATATTTAGTTTTGTTTACCGAGATGAAAAATAAAACGACAAGGGTACTTCATTATTACACAGTTATTGCAGTGTGATGAACGATGATAAATTTTGACAAAATAGAAATCAAACTAGAACAGTTTAAAAAAACATCTAAAAAATGGATATAAAAAGGGAGATTATGCCAGTATGCCCTATTTAACCGTTAGCATACTCGCCCTGCAAGTTCAAGGTTAGAATGTGTCGCCTTACAAGTTCAAGGTTAGGAGTTGTTGCCCTAAAAGTTCAAGGTTATGACGCCCTACAAGATCAAGGTAAGGAGTTACAAACATGCCCATCAAAGTTCAAGGTTATGAGTAACATACGCCCTAATCAAGTTCAAGGTTATGAGTAACATACGTCCTAATCAAGTTCAAGGTAATGAGTAACATATTGGCCCATAATGTTTAAGCCATTTGAACAATGGTTTGATATGTAACAGAAGGGGACATAAGCTGGGCATATTTTCAACAATTCAAAACACAATAATGATTTCTAACAAATTACATTATAAATACACGTACAAAATATTAAATAAAATAACTAGCAAATTTAAAATGTAAATAAAAAAACAATAATTTTCTAGAAACTTCGAAATATAAAAAATAATTCTAATGACTTTAAGATAAAGACAAATATTGTTCAAAATGATAAACTGATGTAATGCAAGGAAAAAAAAAACTTCAAATATTTCTTTTACTTGTCTTATTATTTTTTTTAATTAATTAAAATTATATTTAAAATGGCTGCATGTATACTCATATTTACAGGTTTTTTTTTACTTAAATTGCATTACATAAAGATGATTTTTAAAATTTTGATTTAGATGTAACCATAGTTTTACCTGTTGATGTTTAGAATGTACATTTAAGCTTTCTTACATTTTTTTCATTTTTTCAGCAAGTTTTGTTAACTACTGTTCCTATATTAAGCATTTTGACTTTTTAAAAATATTATAACATTAAAAAACTAATTTTGTTTCAAATAAAAAATTCTACTTTCTACTAATGGCAAATGCATAAATAGTATAAATGTAAAACATAAATAGCCATTGATTGACTTAGATTGGAAACATAAAGTGCTGGCATGCAAGGGAAGCTACAATTAAAACTGCGCTTCCCATTTTCAGTTACCCCCCTTGTATCAATTTCCGATGCAATTGTATATGTATCACATTTCACATTTCAAACAAAAACACACCCAGAGAAAAAAAATGTACACATATGCAAATAGATTAAACAGAGATAAACCCGTACTTTTCAACTATGATTTTAAAAAATGTCGTTTATACAATTAGAAGGTATAAACTATGACATTTAACATGGTTCATTTTGTGGGGAAAGTGTTGGGGAAAAAAAACGTCTTTGACAACAATTAATGTCACTCGCGCTAGAACCATCCTTTCCTTTTGATCCAAAATTTTAACGAAATTTTATGGAATATAACGTGCAATCAAAATTATTGTTTTCTTTTATCGTGTGGAAATGCTTACAACTGAATAATATCACGCTCGCTTATTGTTGGTTGGATATCTGTAGTATATTTTTAAAAACGTGTTTTTGTGGGTGTTATACAAGAGAACATCCCGGCAGTCTAAAATCTGAACTGGAAAACACAAGAGCGGTGGTTTTTCTCCATGACGTGTGAAAAAAAAAACAACTTTCCCAGAATCAAGTTGACCAGCACGTATCCGCAAGGTCCGTGATGAATTCCAGGCTGTTTCTGCTTCCAAACACACAGGCACTCTGGGTAGGAGCACCCTGGAGTAAACCTTGACCGCAACCACAAAACCACCACCCTCTTTTACCCACGAGCGTACCCTTTGTATGTTTCCGGATGGGTTAGGATTAGAGTACCAGATATACCCGATGGTTTCATCTGTTGTCGCGTATAGTTTGCTTAATCCAATCCAGGTAGCTGGAGACCTTGGTGTAGATGCCGTACTTCCCTTTCCTCCCGCACCCCTCGCCGTAACTGGTCACACCGTAGAGGTAATATTTCCCGTTCCCCTCGGGCTGAGACTCACACAGCAGCGGACCCCCACTGTCCCCCGCGCAGGAGTCCGTCCCCCCGCGCTTAAACCCGGCGCAGACTTGACTTGACGTGATGTTGTATTCAAAAACTTTCCGGCATTTCTGATGCCGGACGACCGGAATTCTTGCCTCCTGTAGCGAGTCCGAGCCGTATTGATGCTGGTTTTTAATTTTCCCCCAGCCCACGATGGTACACAGTTGTTTGTTTTGGGGCTTGAAATCAGGGCTGGGGAGGCAGGCGTACCCAGGCTGGGTGTAGGCCGAGGGCGGGTGGCTGAGCTTGATGAGGGCTATGTCGTTGGTGATGGACTGGTAGTTAAAGTCGGGGTGGGCGAACTCCCTCTCAGGCCTTATATCCTCCTGCGTTGTTTCGTTTTTCTGAAATAATTTTTAGAAAATTAATTTCAACATAGAAATAAAATTACATGCACACAGTTTAATCGCGTGGGGTGCTTTTAAAAATGTTTGTTTAATGCACAATCTAACGAAATAATGTAAGAATGCTATTAACACAATCTAACGAAATAATGTAAGAATGCTATCAACAATCAAACAAAATACTGTAAGAATGCCAATAGCACTATTCGATCAGAAAAATTGTAATAAAATGCGATCCACACAAGTTCAACTTGCTTAGTAAACCTATAAATGCTATACTATTCTCACAATTAAATGTTGAACTCTGTAAAAATCGATATAAAATGCTATTAACAAAATTTTATTTGTTATGAAATAGCACAAGTTCGACTTTTGGACCTAACGAACGATTTATATGGCAGATGAAGTAGAGTTCGTCTGTTTCTTGAGCTCGGCGAATGAAGGGATAATGTGGTCAGCAAGATGCCCAGTCGCCTTTACTTTCCCCAACATGAGCTGGGTACCTATATCAGAGCTGAGTGGACTCAAATCTCATTAGCTGATCAAAATTCGAAACTTCGGATTACCGGCTTAGTATAATCTTAAAATGTCTCCAGATCTTTTTGGTAGCCCTATTTACATTTGAATTAATACCTCACTCTAACTTAAATGTAATACCCCTCCCCACCCCCCCACCCCCCCCCCCCACAACCACTCCCCTTTATTTGGACCAACTTAAGATCTGGCCTTTGAGGCTAGACCAATCTAAATATAGATCACACTTTAAATAACCATAGCTAAACAACATCACATGCATTTCCCATTAACGAACGGTGACCTACTAATTAAGAGTGCCACCCCCCCCCCCCATGCGTGCATAGATCTGACCTACTTACGTGAATATCGTGTTCACCGACTCTGACCACCAACTTCCGTTTCCGGTTGTTCTTCCTCACACAGTGGGCCGCTGTGAGGACCCATCGAGGAGCGATCAAAGTACCCCCGCAGTACTGGTCTAGGTACTTCGTCATGATGGCGACCTAAAAGTACATTAATTATCCAGTCAAACAAAAATGTTAGCAACAACTTTTAATTTTAAATTTATTTTATTCCAATCCATGATTCTTCTTTTTTAATACTTCCATGTGATTTATTTATAATTATTTATAGATTAAATAAACAGTTGTTTTTTTTTTTAAATCTGTGAATTAAACAAAAACAGCAGGTAAAAACCTGACAGGAAACGTTTGATGAGAGTCTGGCATTGTACCTGCAGTAAAAGACCAGGTGTGTGGAACAAATATTTGTAATTTTAAAAGACTGGAGAGTTCATTGGCATATAGCGACAAAATGACGTCAGCAGTGTGGTTTGTGTAGACGTCATACGACATCGACATGCGTGGGTGGGGGCGAAGGGGAAGGCATGTGTGGGACGGGGTGGTCGAATGGTAGAGCGTTTGGCTGCCAGCCTGAAGGTCTTGAGATAGGATCTCGTTTCGTATGTGACTGTAGGACGTCTCCGAGTCCACTCAGCTCTGATGGGTACCTGACTTATATTGGGGAAAGTAAAAGCGGCTGGGCCTTATGCTGACCACACCATTCCGTCATAAGCCGAGGTCAAGAAACGTATAAACTTTATATACCCAATGGATCGCTAGGTCTAAAAAGGAAATTTACTCATACTGGATCTAGCAGGTAACCCTTTATATTTTCTTAAACTTCCTCCCCACCCCTGTAGAAATTCATTTTTGAACAAATGTCTTTACGCACACAGTTTATCTTGCTCCAACCAGGTCAAGAATGACGTCACAGCACAAAGGCTACCTGTGGCACTGACCGTACCACATATTGAGCAACAGACATTCCTGGTTTAACAGTAGGGCATTCTCTTCGTTATCCAGTCACCACATTCCTTTAAACTAATCCCCGATCAACCCACATTAAAAAACAGCGGCAAGAATTTCATTATTTTTAAAAATCATAATAATTATTATTTATTTTGTAGTTTTATACAGTTTCAAAGACATGATAAAATTTATATTCTTTTTGGTTCTCTTTTTGTTAAATTGTCTTTACCTAACAACAAAGGTCTATTTTTGTAAGCTATTTTAGGCTTGACTTAAGGGGAACGCTAATAAGACAACGGCTAGGCTTTGTTTGCTCCCAAATATTCCACAATTAAAAAAAAAATTCATTGAAGAAATGTGATCTAGTAATACGGAGAATCAGGTTTGTTTTACAAGTGGGGTACTTAAATTTATACATGTAGACTCTGGAATAAATCTTAACCGAATTCTAGAAAGGAAAAAAAAATCTACTATTCTTATCAGTTGATTACCCTTGTATCAAGGGGTCGGATTTAGATCGGCGTTATTAGACCGAGTTTTCAACAAGTTAAAAAAAAAACTTTTTTTTTGTTCGGTTGGGTCTTGTTTCTGGACAGGTAAATTAATGACGTCACGAAAAAATAAAACAGGTGGCGGGAACACTGCATGAGCGAAAGCGAGTGGGGAGGGGGGGGGGGATTTTTTTTTTTTTTTTTTTTTTTTTTTTTTTTTTTTTGGTATCAGGTAGACTAGTTAAAAAAAAGTTAATAAGAAAAGAGATTCTGAAATAAAGTTCGATGATGTATACACAAGAATAACAAAAAAAAATATGCATGCGGATACTGATTCTGATAAAGATAAAAATAGTTGTTCCTTGTAATCAAAATCCTCTTTGACACACCCAGTCGGCTCCACCCACCTTATTTCTGAAACGCCCATGCAGCTGGTCAACCCCCCCCCCCTCACCCCCCCCCCCCCCCCCCCCTGATTACATCTCCCGTGGGTGAGTCTTTGAACTACCACCACAGAGGATGCTGAAAGTCAATACATTCTCAGCCGTCGTGTATCCGCAAGATACGATCTTCAGACGAGCTACGGGAGTATCACGTGACTCCCGCCCGAGCTTGATCTACCTGTTGTACCTCCCCCCTGGCCCCCCCGCCCCCGGGGTTTCATGTTTCATGTTCTATTACCCCTAGCCCCCTGGCAAATATACACAAGTCACGGGACTTCTGGGTTTGATTTGACTGCTAATATTCAGAATCGCAAAACTCGGTTCGTCCGCCCCTAGAAATGCGTTGATCAAATTCCTATCGTAAATAGGTTGTTCTGGCGAAATTAGGTTAAAGGGTAAATGTGCGGGGTATGAATAGAAGTCGTGGGAGTACGGAGGAGGGGGTGGGGGTGGAGGTGGAGGAACGCTTCGCAGGTAATTAAATACAGATACAATATTTTGGTGCCAAAGGAAAAAAAGTAGAAAGTAATAAAAGTAGAGATAATCATTCATAGTCGATTATTTGGGAGTGAGGAGGTTGTTTATGAAGGGGGTGTGGAGGAGTGTTGAGAGTGTACGTAGTGCTGGTGAGATTTTCTTGTTTCTAGTCGGACACTCGAGGTGTCTGAGTAGAATTTGATTCTAGTCGGACACTTGTGGTGTCTAAGTAGAACCTGATTCTAGTCGGAGAAGGGTTGTGTCTGAGTAGAATTTGATTCTAGTCAGAGATCGGTGGTGTCTGAGTAGAATTCGATTCTAGTCGGAGAAAGGTGGTCTCTGAGTAGACCTGATTCTAGTCGGGGGAAAAGTTGCGCTAGATTTTAATGTTGTTTTCAGATCAAGGAGAAATGCTATATGTGGTCGGGTCTTATCTTAATGGGGGTCATGAATGAGTTACATCACGAGATATATACTGTGACGGGGTCACGCTAAATCAAACCCCAATGTGACAGGATTACGTTACTTAAATAACTAAATGTGTCATAGTCACGTCATATCAATGACCCAATGCGACAGAATAACGTCACATTAATGGCCCAATGTGACAGGATCACGTTGCATGAACTCCCAAATGTGACAGGATCATGTTAAATCCTTACCATAACGTGACTGGATCCGTTTATATTTACACTACACTGTGGCAGGATCACGTGCTATCAGAACTAAAGTGTCACAGGATTGGTCCAGCCCTTCAGGTCATAGGTCAAATGTTCCCACCCCAATAGGTCAGAGGTCGAATGTTCCCAGCCCAATAGGTCATAGGTCAAGTATTTCCCAGCCCAATAGGTCATAGGTCAAGTATTTCCCAGCCCTTCAGGTCATAGGTCAAGTATTTCCCAGCCCAATAGGTCATAGGTCGAAAGCTGGACGAAATCGAATGATGTTGGAAACGCAATAACACCACGACCCCTCCTACCCCTGCCCCGCTGCCCTGAAACGCATCAATCATCGAATACATTCCAAAGCTACAGGTCAAACAAGTGCGAACACAGATATTCGCAGCTCAACAGGTCCCGGTCACGTGATTGGGTTCTCGTGATTTCCTCTACCCCCCCCCCCCCCATCCCCCCCCCCCCCACCCATCCGTCCGTCAGATTCCCCACTCTCTATACACTAATATCTAATATAGCGAGGGAGGGGGATTGAAAGAGGGCATTCAGCCACTTACAAGTCCACTGAGTCGTTTGGTCGGCTAAGAAGGTCAACATGCATGGTTCAAGATGTTGTCGTTTCCGATTGGCATAGTAGACACCCCCCTTCCCACTCGTTACTGACTGGCATAGTATACACCCCCTCCCCCTCCCCCCCCCCCCCCCCCCACACACACACTGGCGTTCTAATTAAAATGTAATTATAAGCCACCTATACTCCCACGCATTCCGCAATAAGACAAATATCCGCCAAGAAACATACAACAAATCACCCGACAAATGCTTAAGGGATTGATCACATGTATGATCATACAACAATTTATACAATCAATTTAAACAACAAATGATGCAATAAGAGATACAACACAAGATACGAGAAATCGTCCAGCATATTATAAAACAAAGAATGCAATAACAAAGCCAACAAAACATAAAACAAATTATCCAACAAAACATACAACAAATGAGTCAACCAAACATACAATAAAAAGGTTTACTAAACATATAACAAGGGGTTCGGCGTGGTCGGGTCGGTAGAGTCCATGGCTGCTTATCAGAGGCGTAGCGACCCTTCCCGGCGCCCGATTTGCACCCATCCCTCGAACTTTTCATTTGCACCCCCCCCCGTCAAACTTTCAATTTGGCGCCCCCCCCCCGTAAGGTCGGCGCCCCCCCCCCCCCCTCGCTACGCCTCTGCTGCTTATTCGAAAAGTTTCTAGTTCAAACCACCATGATGATGAGTCTCGTTAGCTGGGGAAAGCAACTCATCTAGGAGAGACAACTCCAAAGTCAAACAACTGCTGCCTTGTAAGTTTGTTCTTGGATGGACAAAGGCTATGGAAGCAAATCCGGAAAGAAAAGCAGACTAGAATCTGAGTAAACTGCCTACAAGGCGCACATGTCGACACGAAATTCTTAATTGTGGTGGAGGAAATTCCATCCAATATTAAAATTAAGAACAAAGAAGTCATAGAACAAGAGATACAACAAGATACACAACAAATTATTGAACATGACTCATATGATCCACCATACACGCAACAAGAAATCATTGCTTATCACCACCAGCGCTTCTACTTATGCCAATACTCTCTAGTCGATTAAGACAAAAAAAAAATGACATTTTCCCACGGGGCAGTTCATTACTGGAAGACCATCGTGACATGTACTCTAGAGGTCTAGATTAGATGATTAGCACGTCGGTGTGAAGTAGGTGTGTAAATCATAAGTAGGGGGGGGGGGGTGAATAGCGGTGAATTGTGGGGGTGGGTAGTGTGTGAATCGTGAGGAGGGAGGGAAGGAGTGTGTAAACGTAAAGAAGTGGGAGGGGCAGTGTGTGAATTTAAGGTGAATTGTGAAGCGAATATGCGAATCGTGAAGCTACTGTGTGAATCGTAAAGCTACTGTGTGAATCGTAAAGCTACTGTGTGAATCGTAAAGCTACTGTGTGAATCGTAAAGCTACTGTGTGAATCGTAAAGCTACTGTGTGAATCGTAAAGCTACTGTGTGAATCGTAAAGCTACTGTGTGAATCGTAAAGCTACTGTGTGAATCGTAAAGCTACTGTG